TATAACTGTGTTGTTAATTGTCTCCCGGTAGGATAAAAAAACAACGTAATAATTTGACCAGTCTACAATCTATGAAAAAATACACTTTTTAAAGTCATTTTTTTTTTTCTCAAATGGGCTCTATGCACGGCGTTATTTCCGGTGAAGGATTAAGGATGCTCGATAACTTCCGCCGATCATAGAGTCCAATGCAATACCGAGAATTTATATTGAATTTTATACTCCATGGTTATACTAATGAAACGTTAGTCACAAAAACAGATAAAACAGATCACCCCTCGTTGTGTTTATGCTTCTTTTTAAAATTATATTAAATAAACATAACTATATATAAAATTACATCTAAACGTATACGTTTCGTTTCAAAGACGGGAGGACAGTAAATATTGAAGACTCTGCCATAATCCCGTTTTCTCCGGTTTTCCTCCGCTTTAATCTACACAACCGGAAATGGACGAGCATCCTTACGTCAAATGCGGAACTTATGCGTGCATATAGCCCATTGCAGGCCTTGAGTTTCCCCTGAACTTTTTTTTTTTTTTGAGTTTCCCCTGAACTGTTACTGTTGTTGGTGATATTGGTATTGACTCACGGCTGTGTTCTGCCCTCTACAGGCTGGAAGACTCAAGTGCAGCCCTGTGTGCGCAGATGGAGAGACTCGAGCAAGAGATGGAGCAGGAGAGGAAAAGAAAACGAATGCTTGAGATCAAACTGAGAAACTCTGAACGAGCGCGTGAGGACGCGGAAAACCGCAATCGCCTCCTCGAGAAAGAGATGGAAGACTTCTTCTCCACGCTGGGGGACCTGGCTCTTGGAAGCCGCACCAGTGACATTTAATGCAAAAAATAAACACAAGGACCACGCAAGATGATGTTGTCTCAGGCCATCTCCATAAATTATATGGACAATTTTATGTCTGTAAAATTCCACTATCACTGATTCAACCAGTCACTTTTTCACCATTCCAGCAGCGTTACGTTTATTAAACCAGTTTACACCTGTCGTTTTAAAGCGACGTCTTTTTTCGAGGAGTGGAACATCTGAATCCGATCGTGAAATCACGCATCGTTTGCATGTTCGAGGTTCCCAGTCTGAATGCTAATATGAGGACTATGAGCAGATCTGGTGGACATTAAGCAGACCACTGGCGCAGAAACGTCACTTATAATGACATCGGGACAGTGACTTTGTCAAGGTCTTAAAGGAGTAGTTCACTTTTTAAAAAAAACTTTTGCTGATAATTTACTCACCCCCATGTCATCCAAGATGTCCATGTCTTTCTTTCTTCATTCCAAAAGAAATTAAGGTTTTTGATAAAAACATTCCAGGATTTTTCTCCATATAATGGACTTCAATGGGGTCCAAACGGTTCAAGGTCCAAATGAGAGTTTCAGTGCAAACTACAAACTGTTCAAAGGGCTTTAAACGATTCCAGACGATGAATAAGGGTCTTATCAAGTGAAACGATCGCTCATTTCAAAAATAAATAACAAAGTTTAGGTTTTATAAGCACAAATGCTCGCCTTGCTCTGTTCTGTGATGCGCGCTTGTGACTCTCCTGTTCGAACTCGTTCATCAAAATGAATGAGTCATTTGGTTCATTTTGTTCGTTGAATGAACCAAATGACACGAAAAAAGATTTGTTCAATTTGATCGAACAGGAGAGTGCACAAACAGAGCAAGGCGAGCATTTGAGCTTATAAAACTTAAACTTTGTTATTTTTTTTTTAAATGAATGGTCGTTTCACTTGATAAGACCCTTATTCATCGTTTGAAATCATTTAAAGCCCTTTGAACAGTTTGCAGTTTGCACTGAAACTGTCTTTTGGACCTTGAACCGTTTGGACCCCATTGAAGTCCATTATATGGAGAAAAATCCTGGAATGTTTTCATCAAAAACCTTCATTTCTTTTGACTGAAGAAAGAAAGACGTGGACATCTTGGATGACATGGGGGTGAGTAAATTATCAGCAAAAGTTTGTTTTTTTTTTTTAAGTGAACTACTCCTTTAATGTAATGCAAGCATACTTGACTAAAATAGCTCCAGGTTGTATTTTGAGAGGTCATTTAAAAGAAGCTAGAAATGTGACTTTTGTCAATTGAGCTCATTTTCTATTTATTTTACACTGTTTAAGTGCTTAGAAAGTCTAGAAATGCTCTGTGGATGTTTCTTAAAACGAGTGGTCAGATACTGTGTCATAGATTATGTAGACTCGGCTCATTCTCTGAACTACTGCACAGTAGGTCATGTTATATATTAGCATGATGGCCGTAGCCTAATGGTCAACTTTCCAGGCTGCTAATATGAATGTTTCAGGTTCAAGAAGAAGAGACCCAGAAACTGGACATCACCACTGTGCCCTCAAGCAAAGTGCTTTCTGCTGCTCAACATGTTTCACTTGGATATTACCAGAACGACAGCTTTTACAAAAGTCTTTATGCATATTTAGAGTATGTGAAGATGTTATACATCATTATGATTCGACTATTATACTGCGGTCATACGTGACGATTAGTCTTCTGTGCTGTGCTGAAATGTTCCCATGTGTCACTGTGGTGGTATGTAATTATTCACAAAGACCTAAATTAAATTGTAAACTGAAAAAAAAAATGAAAGAGCATACATCTTGTAAAAGCGATCTGATCATCTACTTTATGTGGCTGGTTTGTCATCTAGCACAGCTTATACACATACAGTGTTAAAAGGGATAGTTCACTTTGAAATTAATTTTTGATATGTTTTATCTTACCTCAACGGCATCCAAGATGTAGGTGTCTTTGTTTCCACAGTATTTTCAATTTTGATATTTTTAGGTCAAACCGTTCTTGTCTGTCAGTCATATAATGGAGGTCTATGGTCACCACCTCAAAGAGCATGCACAGAGAAGTCCAAATTAAACATGATTTAATGAATCGTAAATGTAAGTACACATTGATGGCCTAAGACACGAAACGAGCGGTTTGTGTGAGAAAACCAACAGTATTTATATCATTTTTAGCTCTTGCCATGTCCGCGTGAGAACTCCGGTCTTGCACGAGTGGTATCGCATTGTTTCCTTGTGACATCTCGCTGATCCGATTCTGAACACAGCAGCGACTGAATGCTGGCCAAGATAGTCATGAAGTAAGAAAATAACAGCAACCCGACTACTTTGAAAATTGTGCCGTCTGAACTCGGCATAAGCTATAACGATCACCAAACAGAAAAAGCTTTCAGGGTGTTTTTTTCAGATGATTAAAACATTTTCAGCCAATCACAATCCACTTGATTTTAAAGAGCTTGAGCATTTAAAACAGCAGATGACAAAGCTGCAGTGCATTATTGTAATGCCTGGTTCAGTTTACACGGTTTTAGCCCGATTTTGGCACAATCCATTTGACGTAGGGTGTCGTGGGGATTCGTAAACGACAACGCAAGATTCGATCGTATCATCTCGTATAGTGTGTCATAGCCCAGATAGCAAATTGACATTGAATCAACGTGGAAACATGACATCCAAACAACGTTGATCTGACATTGTTTTGCTCATCGAATTAACGTTGAACCAACGTCAGACGCGTCATTCTTTCAAAACTAACGGAAAATCAACTTGAGATCAACGTTGTCTCAACGTTATGAAAGCAAACCAATTTTCGATTTTCATTTAGCTTTGAAGAATGCCGCGTCTGACGTTGGTTCAACGTTAATTCGATGAGCAAAATCAACGTTGTTTCAATGTCATGAGAGACGTCGTTTCCACGTTGATTCAATGTCAGCTTGCTGTCTGGGAGGGGGCTACAACCTACGTCGCGTCTGCAATGCTTCACGACATCACGACAAAAAGACTAACGTTAGCATGTTTAATTTTTTTAACGGTCGTTCGCGGCGGTTCCGTCACATGTATGAGGTTGACCAATAGGAGCACAGAAGCTTTTCCGTACACAAGTTTTAAAAATGGCGAAACGAAAGAGAAAAGATGGTGCTAACGTTAAAACTAAAAGTAAAAATATATAAGAAAAGAATATTTTACCTCAAGTTCTCTTTGGAGGATTGACAGCCCATACTGTCCTCTTCAAGTAATCCAGGTCCATTGTCAGGTATTCTTTCTTTTTTTTACTTTTTTTTCTGAACACTGGACAGCCAATACAACCATAGACATAATATATATGTCTATGAATACAACACTCACCGCTTCATCCATTGTTTGTTTATGTTCGTTTCCGGAAGTCACTCTTTTTTTTTCTTTTTTTTTTTTTAAATATTGTTCTTTTTTTATTCTAACCAACAAAGTCAGTATACAGTCAGAATTGCAATATATACAAAATGGAGAAAACAAAACAAGCCAAATGACAAAACAAAAAACAAATCAGACAGCCAGGGGGGGGGGGGGGGGGGTAAACATTATATACAAATATCAAAGGATTCACAAATCAAAATAGTTTTAATTGCTTTCTTATTGTGGAAATGAAAGATAGTTTTCAAGAACCAAAAACAAAAGTTTGGTTTTATTGGTTTTATTGCACTTACATTTATGTATATGGAATTTAGCATAAATTAAAATTACATTTATAATATAGTATTCTTTCCTTTTATTTGAAGGAATTCCGGAAGTCACTCGCTACTAGTTTCGCCTTCTCGATGACATCACGCGTGCCTTTAAAGACGGTGCGATGACAGGTCAGGAAGCAACGTGTAGTCCGACATGTGTTTTAAGATTTTAGGAGTCAAAATGGCGTAATCTGACACAGTGACTATCGTAACAGACAGTCGTGTCGTGTAATCTGAACCAGGCATAAATTAGTGTGGAAATCAATACAGTTATCATTATTGGAAAAAACTGGTCTTTTAAGAGTAGCATGTTATTCCAAACTCATTTATGTTTTTTTAGTTGTTGAAACATTCAATCGACTGATTTAAACAGTAACGCCACTGCTAAAAAAACTAAATAACTCACAATATTCAATCTAAAGCATACATAAACTTCTCGTATATTGAGCTGCAATGAGACAAGGGGAAATGATTCTGATTCAAACTGGTGTTTATTTGCAGTACATGTACAATTGGTATCATAAGATCCCAGTGCATTCTTTGTGCACACTTCTCATTGTCTGTATGCTGTTGAGCGCACACAGAGTTAGCAATTTAATAATAGCTGGCGTTGCTAGCAAATATTACATACCAGCACCAAATCTTAACATATTGGTAATTCAAGATATTTTACAGATGTTTTTAAATTGAACTTACCAGGTTGATCAAAGTCCTGTGGCTAAACATGAAACCTTGCTAACATCAGCCACAGAATTTAGTTTTTGGTAAGACAGGTTATGTAACATTGATGAAAAAAAGCCACAAAAGAAAAAAAAAATCCAGATTTAAAAAGACAAAAAAATATGTTTATCAGACAGTACCAAACATATCTCTACCTCTGGGTACATATTTAAAACTAATAAGTCTAGATCTAGCGATTACAACTAGCATGACAGCAGTGGGTATTGCACAACAACTGTAAAAAAAAAATGAGTACAAAGAAAATTAAAAACAAAAAGATCAAATTTACATTTCAGTTCTTTTACTTCTAGGTGAAGTATACATAATGTACAAAACTATACGTTGCCTACTATTGACAATAGTTCACTTTAGAAATAAATAAATAATGAAATCTGTATTAACATTTTACGGGCAACTACGTCGGAAAAAAAAAAATCTAGAAATTTTGAGTGAGGTAGTTCATCAAAGCCTACTTTGATCTGAATTATAACATTTTTGAGAGATGAAATAAAAAGAAAAAAAAAGTTAAAATTCATTAGCCTAAAGACAGTGAAGAAAAAATTAAGAGCACTTAAAAAAAAACGTCCGGGATGCGACTCAAATAAAAGAGTATATATGCCGATCATTATGCAAACACAAACCTTCGGTTCCTACATCCTTTCAACCATCACCATACATACGCATGTCCGTTCGAGAGCATTGCATCATGGGAAATGTAGTTCCCATCTACAGCATTTGTTGCAATATCTTGCACATTTCCCTAAACAAAATAAAGCTGCAAACCATATATGCATACCAAAAATGTTCCAATTTGCTATCACTTTGATAAAAGACCTTGCTTGAGGAAACGTCCCTTTCTCAACCTTTCGATCTACATCACACACACACACACACACACACACACGTCCAATACAATAGAAAAATAGACACTCCAACGTGATATGAACAGGATTACTTTGAAAAACCTCACCCAAATTTCTTCATCTTTCTAATCATTCAGGAATGAATGCTTGACTCAGGCACTTTCTCCATTTTGAAAACAAAATAAAAGCCCAATGATGAATGACATCTGATGGATTTACCTTGTAGTCATTGTATTCTTTACAGTAGGAGGAGTAGAGTTTACACTTCATACACTAAGATATAATTACATTCCAAAACATTACATAATCAAAGATTTTTTTTTTATAAAATGATTTTTTTTTTAACGTTAGATTGCCAAGTCCTTTCATTACGATCCATTTTGAACCGTTTCCATTGCTGCAACTAAAATAACATCATTAAAAAAAATCTTTTTTTCTCATAGCCTAACGAATAAGATCACGTCGGTATACGCAGTTTGATTGTAGACACTAAAGAAATCAAAAGCGTTTCTTATGCAGGGACCAAATATCCAATTTCGGTTTCATATCATATATTGAAGTGTTCAAACAACTGTACAGCGCTGAAAGAAAGCTTAATGAAATATGTACAGACTAGATTACATACGGTGACGCTTAAAAACTTGTGTTTTTACAGAGAGTAAATGGTGTACACTGAAATTAGAGTAGCTTACAGACCCTAAGAGCGCTTTAAAATGTGTTTTTGTAAAGCCAAACCAAATAAAACGTCCATCTTAGACCGATCAGATGCGTTTTACACAGCACCGACTCCCAAACACTAGTAACAGTGTGGAAACGTTAATTTATCCAGGAAGAACCTCCACTAATTAGTGATTAAAATGACTCTCAAAAAAATAAAACATCTCAAAAATATATTCACCATCCATCTTTACAAATAAACTACTCAAATCATTCCACATCCAAATGGCAAGATGACGTCGCACGGGGCTAGCTTCAATCTGATGCGAAATTAAAGTACAGCAAATGAAAGCAGTCAAAGTAATGCTGGTTTGGTGCCCTCAACAACTCTTACCTCCGTTCTTAAGCTTTTTCGATTCAAAAGAACTTGTCGAGTTTGAGAAAGAAAGGAGGACACGTGTCCGTTTGCCAGTGAAGAGGGATGTTAGCGGGAACGGGATGCACGAGGATGGTCATCTACAGCAGCCCAGCGGTCCTGTGGTCTCCTGACTGCTGTCCGTGTCCGAGGTCACGGTGGGGTCGCTGGACATGGACGACGCGTCGTTTGTGGAGGAGGAGGACGTCGTCGAGGGCTCCTGGGAGTCGTTGCTCACTGCTGCACCTGTGCTATGAGGAACACAGCACATTTTTATCAGACGGGTACGACTGATGAAACCGTGTGAACGTGGACATCTTTACAGCATGATCAATTTACAAGCAAGCAAGTTGAATTTATGCTTAAATTCTAAAAAATATGCTTAAATTTACATATTCTTAATATATTACATTATGTTGCTTTTCAAGTAAATGGATCTGGTAGATGTTTAGACATTTAATGGGGGGGAAATGATTGATAAATTGTAAATAAAAGGTTACATAGCCAAACTTTTGTAATGTTTCAATGTACATCAGAAGCAAGATTGTGTAAGATTTTAACCCTCTGGGGACTAAGCCCTTTTTGGTCCGTTTTCTCTATTTTTACATTTGGGCTTGTAAACTATAGACCTTATGCACCAGCAGGTCATTTTTTACGAGCAGTTCATTCATACCAATGCAAGATCGCTGTGGAAATACAAAAGACAACGAGCGCAGTGCTGAAAAGGGGCGGGGCTACATAAGGTCTATGTTATGGAGATGGAACGCTGCCTATGTGTTTGGTATCTATGGATTCAGAAGACTCTAAGCTAACATAAGCACGCATGTAATGTGTTTAAAAATGAAGTATGAGTGAAAAATGTACAATAATAGTTAGGGCTGTCAACTTTAGTCGTTTAGTCGACTAATCGGTCGATGCCAACATTCTTATTGGTCGACCAGTTGCATTTTTTTTTTTTCACCAATAGAAAGAATTTTTCAATGATTTACTCCTTGATATTTATTCATTTGTAAGCAGTTATTTATTACTGTATTCTAAATATAATTAGCCTATGTTTTGTCCCCAACTTTAAAATGCTTTAATTTAGGCTATTTTTGTAACTGCGCCACAGTTTAACGCACACACATAATACACTCGGGGACCGTCTGTGGCTGGCTGCGCTGCTGCTCGCGCTCGGTAAGGGATGCTGTAGTCATTCAGTTAGAACGCTGCTTGTTTTGGCTTTAGTCGATAAAATTTCCAGGAAATCTAAATCTTATGTCTGGCTGCATTTTAAAACAAAGACGACAAGACTGTGGAGGGAGGCGATCGCGTTGCTCCATTATGAGCGCGCAAGTCGCGCGCCTACATTTGAAACCGAACTTGAGCGCGCAAAAGACGTGAGCAGCCTTTTAACGGCTATATCATGCGGACTCAATAGATTGTGTTTTCTTAATGTTTTCGTTTTTATTTGTACACTTGACGCATTTGAAAATAGCCTAAATAATGCAACAAAACGAAAATAAACCTATACGCGGTCCTACAGCATATTATTAGGATTGTTTTTAAGTTATTTGGGTTTTTGTGTGTTGTTTTAAAACGCCTCGATCGTCAGGACGAAAGTTAACCCATAGCTTTGAAAGTAAAGAAGAATATAAAGCCTGTATAAACGAGAGCTTTTGTTGGGATTTTTCATTATGTGGCAGAGTTATATTTTTTGCAGCATGTGGTGTGGTCAGGTGCGCGATTGTGACTTAATTTTCAAAGAATTGTATTATTATTATAGTTTTATTTATTTGTGATGTTTTTTCGTTGTTGTTTTATAAATGCTCAATGACAATTGTTTAAAAAATGTTTAATCAAAACATCAGGTTTTTTTTTTTTTTTTTAAGTCGACTAATCGTTGCACAGGACTCGACTTTGGTCGACTAAGGATTTCTTTGGTTGAATACAGCCCTAATAATAGTAGAGAATTTCAAAAACAGAAAATCGATTTTTGTCATTTATTTCTGAAAATCACACATCACACAACAATAGTGAACAGTTTTTGAACAAAAAAAATATTTGTCAAAGCCTTTGCTTGACAGACATGTGTAATTGTTAAATAAAATGTGTAACGAACAATGAAAAATCTAACTTTATTTACAAATAGTCCCGGGTGTTAGAATTTTCTAAACAATGCTTTCTCCTCGTCACTCTCTCCAGTAATTGTTCCAGAGCCTGTTCCACCGTAAATCGTTTATTTTGGGCGGTACCGCCCAATCCGTCCCCAGAGGGTTAAAGAGGACCTATTGTGCTTTTTTTTTTTTTACATGTTCATCTTACTTTAGTGTGTAATGTTGCTGTTTGAGCGTGAAAAAGCTCTGAAAAGTACCAGCGCACACAGTTATTCTCTATATCAGTGTTTGTGAACTCCCTGAAACGCCTCCATTGTAGTCTTGAGTCACAATATTCCTCATCTAAATAATTAATACACAGAATAAAGGGGCGAGTCCTGGTTGATTAAGTTAGTAGTGTGTTAAACTGGTGGTTATGGTAAGGGGCGGGGCATTTCCCAAACACACTCGAAGCACTCGACAGTGTGCTTTTCAGAAGGAACTAAACGGAGCATTACTGACAGACAGAGAAGAGAGGAGCTGCAGCAATGGAGAATCTGTGAAAAATAAGGTGTTTTTTGAACATTCAAGCATGATCTATTGACCTCTTCTAGTAGAGCCCAAATACATACTGCCGAAAATAATTGTAAACATAACACTTTATCAAGATTTCAACTAACGCATTAGTAAGTTCTTCTAATTCTAAACCTGCTTCAGAGCAAAGCTTCATAATCCAGGGTTAAAACGTAAAACAATTAACCCAAGGTTAACCACAGTGTGAAAAGCCTACAGAGTTCATTTCATAAATCAAGGAGGAAACTAACCTAGTGAGGCCGGCTGTCCTCGGATCACTCCGTTTTTCGTTCGCTCCTCCAAGTCCAGCACTTCCTTATATATCAGCTCTGATCAGGGAACAGATACAGAGGAGCACCAGATTACGTCAGGAAACATGTCGTCGTAGATGTTACACAATTTATTACAAATCTTATATTTCATGCGTCCATCAAGATCTAAATAAAAAGGCAAAAATAACCATGCGTTTGACATATCTTAAAATTATTAATGACAACATATAAAAACAAGCACCTTTCCACTCTTCTACTGTGTGTTCTCTCTCATCTAGTTGTTTATCCGTGATCGCCGGTGGCGGCTGAAACCAAGCAGATAAAGGTCAATCGGATACATCACAAAGGAAAGATAATGATACGTCATGCGCTCAGGAATAATGAGCACTGAAGCACTTACCGCTTCCACCTCTGACGGATCGTACCACACGTTGATGTAGGGGTGCTGGAGGGCCTCGTCCACTGAGATTCGCTTCGACGCATCTATTACCAGCATTTTGGATAACAAGTCTCGGGCCTGGCTCGCTGAAAAATAATTGCATTTAAATCAGAAACTGAATCGCCATGGACAGTCATGCTGATGTAGGATTACTGAATTTGATGAGAGTTTAATGAAGGCAAACAAACACAGTTCTGTGTCTTTAGAAGCCAAGTTGAAACAGCCAAGCAAAATTAAATGATAATTAAATAAAATATATAAAAATAATAAATAAATAATTAAATGCACCTTTAAAGCTGCACTGTGTGATTTTTATGCCCATCTAGTGGTGAAAAGGTATATGACCATCCAGTGAATATTAGTTTCTGTTCCTCTCAATACCAATTTCGTTTTAACTCCTACGGTGGCCAATGTAGTCCAAAATTAACATTGCTTCCAGTTCGACCTCGTCCATGAGTGTTAACTCAAACGTAAACGAGAAAGGCGAAGCTTGAATTAACGGGTATGTCCCTCTTTGGCTAATGTACTTTCAAGATGGAGGGTCAACATGGCGACCGACATTAGGACCCCTTACCTGTATGTATTTTCAATGGCATATTATACACTCACGAGAATACTTTATTACTTGAACGAAGTAAATATACATTAATGAGCACATATATTTTTGAAAGAACTAAGTGTTTTTAGCTAAGAATAATCTAAAAGAGTTACACAGTGTAGCTTTAATGAATAAAGCAATAAGCTAGTGGCAGTCATGGATTACAGTTGAAGACCCCATGAAATATTTTGTTATAGTTTCCTTTCTTGGCATATTTCCTTTTGAAACAGGAGGTGCGGCACATTTTAATAGGCTCAAGCCTTTTTATATACAGCCAATAGTTTATGGCTGTAAAATATATATATTTTTAAATTTGTAATTGGTTTCGGTGGACACTTTTCTTATCTAGAAATGGCATCAAATGGTGCAAGAAATCTGAAGCACTTTAAGATCTCATCTTAAACATTTTATTTTCTTGGATGGCTTATACTCGACAATTGGCCTACTGGTTTAATATGCATTTTCATGTATAAATATTTGTATTTGTTGTATTGTTTCTGTTGTTTTTAAACGTATGACTTATTTTTTATTGCATTTGTTTTAATGTTGGTTCATTTTATTCTGTTTGGGGGGGTTAAACAACTTTTTAAGTCGCAAAATAAAGTTATTATAATTCATAATTTAAAAAATACACCTGCCACTAAGAACCCAGTAGATTTGACTTTGCTACTCGCATTTGCTAGTCAGTGGCAGGTGGTATTAGTTTACTTCTATAAAACAACAATATAATAAAATATACCATTATCCTAAAATAATTTCAGGTACAGATTAAAACAATATTTGCAACAAATATAACAATAGTCTAGCATCATTCACCTCACAATTGGTAGTCTATGATCGGTTCCACATTCAGTCAGAAGTTTGCATTTATCTGCTATTTGCATCTTTAAACATCCAGCAATCCATTTCTAAAAGCAACATTTACAGTGTAACAACACTATAAAACAATAAAAGGCCGAAATATTGAAGACGTATCCCTCACCTTTGAGTTTGTTGTGGTCAGAGTCTGCAGGGAAGAGCACGTCAGGGAAGAGCTTCTCAAAGCTGTATCCAGCATAGCGAGGTCTGTTCTCCACGTAAGTCCTCACTGACTGGTTCAGCTTCAACATGAACTCTTGTGCCGGTGTGCCCAGCTGCTCGATCACCTTGTTCCACTGGTCAATATCTTCATATCACATGCTAAGGAAAACTACTGACTGGAGGCACATCATCATGGCTCTCTCTTACCTGACTAATATATTTGGGTGACTTCCAAGTCACATACATAAACATAATTACCCTAAGTGAAAACTTTTAAAGCAGTTAACCTCTTTATTATTTAAGAATGACTCTAGTACATTTCCAAATCCAGCGTGATGTGACAAGTCTACATACATACACTCCCCTAAAGGATTATTAGGAACACCATACTAATACTGCCTTAATTCTACGTGGCATTGATTCAACAAGGTGCTGAAAGCATTCTTTAGAAATGTTGGCCCATATTGATAGGATAGCATCTTGCAGTTGATGGAGATTTGTGGGATGAAGCTCCCGTTCCACCACATCCCAAAGATGCTCTATTGGGTTGAGATCTGGTGACTGTGGCGGCCATTTTACCACAGTCAACTCATTGGCATGTTCAAGAAACCAATTAGAAACGATTCAAGCTGCTGGAAGTAGCCATCAGAGGATGGGGACATGGTGGCCATAAAGGGATGGACATGATCAGAAACAATGCTCAGGTAGGCCGTGGCATTTAAACAATGCCCAATTGGCACTAAGGGGTCTAAAGTGTGCCAAGAAAACATCCCGCACACCATTACACCACCAACACCAGCCTGCACAGTGGGAACAAGGCATGATGGATCCATGTTCTCATTCGGTTTACGCCAAATTCTGACTCTACCATCTGAAATCGAGACTCATCAGACCAGGCAACATTTTTCCAGTCTTCAACTGTCCAATTTTGGTGAGCTCTTGCAAACTGTCGCCTCTTTTTCCTATTAGTAGTGGAGATGAGTGGTACCCGGTGGGGTCTTCTGCTGTTGTAGCCCATCCGCCTCAAGGTTGTGTGTGTTGTGTCTTCACTGCATACCTCGGTTGTAACGAGTGGTTATTTCAGTCAAAGTTGCTCTTCTATCAGCTTGAATCAGTCGACCCATTCTCCTCTGACCTCTCGCATCAACAAGGCATTTTGGCCCACAGGACTGCCGCATACTGGATGTTTTCCCCTTTTCACATCATTCTTTGTAAACCCTAGAAATGGTTGTGTGTGAAAATCCCAGTAACTGAGCAGATTGTGAAATACTCAGACCGGCCACGCTCAAAATCGCTTAAATCTCCTTTCTTTCCCATTCTGACATTCAGTTTGGAGTTCAGGAGATTGTCTTGACCAGGACCACACCCCTAAATGCATTGAAGCAACTGCCATGTGATTGGTTGACTAGACAATTGCATTAATGAGAAATTGAACAGGTGTTCCTAATAATCCTTTAGGTGAGTGTATATAGACCATTTCACAAGATGTAAACAACACTGGTCCAGAAACACTTCCTGTTTCAGTTTGTAACTGTTTTCTTTATTTTACATGTAAAGAAAAAATCTTAAAGATGTCTGTTTACATTTTTGATTCAGTTTTAAATGTTCTGTTGGTTGTATTTTATCCCAGCTTTTATGTAGTGTTAAAAAACTGAAACAGGAAGTGCTTCTGGACCAGTGTTGTTTACATCTTGTGAAATGGTCTATATGAATGAGACATTTTAAATCTGGATCTTCATTTCAGCATTTCAATCCTTTTTGCACATCAAGGAAAAAACACATATCACGGGTAAAATAACAAAACAAACACTCACAATGGGACAGTAAAGACGACCAGGTAAGGATACGGTCTGTGCCAGGAAACAACACACTACCTCTGACCATTTCAGCCATGATGCATCCAACAGACCAGACATCAACTGAAAAATGAAATGACAACCAAATTAAACTGCCAAAAATCTTACAAATGAAATGGCATGATCAATACGCAAAAAAAAAAAAGAGAAAAAAACACACAAGAACAGGGTGCACTGATGTGGATGCAACAGACGGTGCATGCAAACATCTCAGTGTGCATCAGGCAGGGTCACGGGCCAGATCAAGACATCCAAGTGTGCCTACTCTTCACAAAACAAAACAACTAGAGGCTGAACAAGGATACAGTCTCTCCCTGGAAAAAGGATTTTGTGCCGCACCATCTCTGCCATAATGCAGCCAACAGCCCAAATATCCACTACACGAGTGTAGCATAGAGGAAAGAGAGAAGACATAAGCAAAGCAAAAAGGGCAGCGCGACTTTTCTGAGTTTGACCCACTGCCAATTTTTCCTCAGCGCTACCGACTCGGACTAAACGTCAGCATTTTCGGCCTTCAAATTGATCTGTTATTTTCGCACTGCAGTGATCCACTTTCACTTCCCAAGTAAGACTCAGTGACTAATGCTCAGTGCTACAGGCAAACCCATCCAGTGTGCTTGTGCATGCAGAAACTAGTTCAGCTGGACAAAAGAATCCCTCAAGGGTCTTTAACGTTAAATCACCACAGCCATTTGGTGAGATCAAGGTTGTTTTCAGCAGAATGATGTGAAGGGTCCCTTTATGTGGGCATGCTGCAAAGCAGTGACATCAGGTTAGCACTCACCATTGGCTTGGTAACCCATGCCCAGGATGACCTCGGGGGCACGATAGTAGCGCGTCACCACATACGGGGTCATGAGGAGGCCGGTGGCGGCCGTCCGGGCCAGGCCGAAGTCGAGGATCTTCAGCGTACAGTCGGATTTCACTACTATGTTACTAGGTTTCAGATCCTGGATAGAGAAGAGGTTAAGGGTCAGCAGAGTGGTCACATTCTCACTGTAGGGGAGTTCAGAAACTATAGCCCATTTTTTCCACGTTAGTTTTTAATATAAGCAAATTTGTAATCATTACATCAAATTTCACGTCTGTTTCATTGAAAGGATGAAAGGTATGGCCTTTAACGATTTATTGAAAGCTTGAAAAACGCTAATTCAGTTTTATTTTCCCAAATTCCCCAATTTAATTCGATTTTTTATTAAGCAAATTTGTAATCGTTACATCAAATTTTAGTAATCAAATTTCACGTCTGTTTCATTGAAAGGATGAAAGGTACGGACATTAACGATTGCTTGAAAAACGCTAATTCAGTTTTATTTTCCCAAATTCCCCATGTTAATTCGATTTTTTATTAAAGTTTATTTCGTTTTAATCATCAAAAAGCATGTGTAATCAATTGATTTTTTTTTTTCTGAGATTCTGTGTTGTCGGTTTTATTTTTTCTAGATTTATGAAGAAAATGTATCATCATTTAGAAAAATAGTGGTAATCAAATAAAAGCATTAAACATGTAATCTTTTAAAATCGGATTTTATATTTTTCATTGAATGAAAGAACAATTGTGTGATATTCCTTAAAATATCATAATGCCGAAAAGAAACATGTGAGGGTCCTAAAAGCATCACTCCCTACATCAAGTTAACATATAATTGGCAGCTAAATTATGAGGTCTTAATAAAAAATCTAATTTTGGCCAAAATTCAAGGCAGCATTACATAAATCTTTCTTGAATAAGGCAAATGCATTGAAACAGAGTAGGGGAAAATGTTGATTTTCTAGGTAATTTGTGTTTATTAAGCCAAGCCTTAAGGACGAGAACTTTAACGATAAATATATAGTTTTAAAAACCGTTCTAAATATAAAAGAATAAAGTCAACAGCACAATTGACAATTGAAATGATGAACATTGACAGCCAATCAGAATCAACCCTTCTTTATAGAGCTTGAGCGTTGACCGTTAATGTAGCATTTCAAAGCCAGTAACCAATGGAGAAGCTTCCTATGTAGAAAGAAGACAGTTCACTAGGCTTTGAAGTGTGTGTGTGTGTGTGTGTACCCTGTGTATGATGCCGGCAGCATGTAGGTGTTTGATGCCGCAGAGCATCTGATAAAGCAGGTAGGAGAGTCTCTCGTGGTCCAGCTCCATCTGAATGACCTGGCACAGGTTTGCATCCATCAGCTCCATCACCAGATAACTGCGGACAGGAGACGAAGGTAAACGAGTGAGGAACACACAAATAAACAAGCATACACTCACATATACACACTGTACAGCCCTCATCTTGTTACACAGTGAATTTGAATTAATCCACGGCCAAACTTATATTATGTGTTGCACATTTTACAACTCAAAAGCCATTCTAATTCACAACAGAAAGTTAAACTTACACATCCTGGAATTCCTCAAGTGTCTTCTGTGGTGTGAACACATTTAACAAGCCAATTATCTGTGAAATGAAAGCACACTGCATGAACGATGTGCTCCGGTTGAACTATGAGGATATCAAGTTCTTACCATCCAAAATTTATACTTATATTTACCATGATACACCACATTTCAGTGTGATTTTCATTATCTACCATGTTCCCGTATGATTCGCCATGAATCTAGCATGCTTTACCATAGTTTCCTGCTTGAACACCTAATAAGAATGAGACCTTTTTGACGGTTATAGCGCCACCTATGGTCCGATCTCCACGAAACTTTCCATGCATCCATACCATGTTAGGACATATATGCTCTTCAATTTTTGTGAAGTTCTGAGTTTTCCTTTAGGATTCATAGGCTTTTGGGTGCATTTTGTCACGCCCCTTTTCTAAATAAACCTGTTATAGCAAACCAAATGGCAAAGTTCAACTTTTTTTTCCAATAATTATTAATCTAGAGAGTGGTCTGGTTCCGATTGGGGGAAAAAACAGGGACTAGTTCGTAAAAGTACGTTTTTAACATATTTGTAAGTATTTAATTAACGATTCGATTGACAGCAATGGTTCTAGAGGCAAAGTTGTCCAGCATGAGGAGATTTATCAAATGATATGCATTTTGTGGGGGTGTGCGCAACACCACGTGTTTACAGTGGGCATAAAACTCGTTAGCGCCAACTAGTGGCTGATTTCTTTCAAAATTCTTACAGACCTCTTTGGTCATGAGTTGAACATGCCCATCGAGTTTCATTCCAATCGGCCTCCGTTAACCTTGTCTCATAGGTGCTCAAACTTCATTGGCCGATGGCGGCCATGTTTTTTGAGATACGCCAATGTCCTCAAATATATATACATGGGGCCTTGGACCAAGACACCGCATACCAATTTTCAAGTATATCGGACTAACGGTCAGGTGGTCATAGCCCTTTTTATGTTTTTTTTTAATGTTATAACGCCACCAAGTGGCTAATCAACGCCGATTTTGTTTTACTGTGACCTCAGAATGTCATCCTACACATGTCTTTTGAGATTGGTGAAGATTTCTCATTAACTTCTAGAGTTATAACCATTTTAGTAAAATAGGAACCTTTTCGCCCCCTAGCGACCGTGAATCAAAATTTCAACTTTTTTCCGATAATTATTCACATTTAGACTCCAGAGAACATTTCTGCAATGGTTTGATTCCGATCGGGTGAAAAACCAGGGAGTAGTTTGCAAAAGTAGGTTTTGGACAAAATCCAAAATGGCGGAAAAATTTGCATATCGGAAATGAAATTGGAGATATTCTTCATGTTTCCAGCTTTCCAATGAGACACTTGAGTCTACGACTTACTGTCTAAGAGTTATGGCCGGTTTCGCGCGTTTCGTTGCTATAGCGCCACCTATGGGCCAATCGGGCTCATACTCTCTGAACCTCTCCTCGATTTTTGTACTACCATCTGACAAAGTTTCAAGTCTCCAGTCCTTACGGTTTGGGCTGCACGATGCGTTTTACGGCAGAAGAATAATAATAAAAACCCTTACAAATACATTAGGTTTTCAGCACTTCGTGCTTGAACAGCTAATATTGTATTTATGAGAAGCAAATCAGCATATTAGAGTGATTTCTGAAGCATCATGTGACACTGAACACTGGAGTAATGATGCTGAAAATTCAGCGTTGATCACAGGAATAAATTACATTTACATTAATAGAATTAAATACATCATTAAATTGAAACAAAACATGGCTTACGTTTTTGTGGTTGACACATTTCATCAGGACCAGTTCTCTGTAGGCCCGTTTGGCATGAGTTTGGTTCTGAAAGGGTCGGCTAAGTTTCTTAATTGCAACATTTCGTTCAAGGACGTGGTCATACGCAGAGCTAAAAAGAAAAACGGGTTTTTAATTTAACACACTTTCTTTTATGAGCCATCTTGATGATAATCTGCTTCTTTCATATTTGACAGGCTAATTAAATTCATTAAACTTACCAGACGATGCCTTGAGCTCCAGACCCGATTGGTCTCAGATTCTGATAGCGCTTCAAAACGGTGAATGTTGAATCTCCTACATCTATGCTGTAATACTCTTTCTCACGCTTATTCCTGTTCATGTTGAAAACCGTACTGACTGTTTCTTGGGCATTCAAGAAAAACTTCAACTTCAAAATCTGAAAAGACAAAAAGAAATGAGTGAGTAGAGGACTTTCATCTGGTCCTGCCTGGTCTGGATTGGTTTTGGGTTTACCATTGAAAAGAGAGATATTATATATGTATACACCATATAATCTGGTTTGCAATCAAAGGAACTTGACCTTCAAAGTTAGGTTTCATAAATTCATAAAAGCTGCTGCATGTAACATACAGAGTGTCATATATATAAGAGATTTAAGTATAAGAGCACAATAGTTTGTATATTGCAATTAATTTTATTTTGCTATTAAACTTTATTAAAATTAAGACTAACTCTGTCATTAGACTAGTTAGACTACTTGATCTTTCAAAACCTGTGAGTTTATGAGATTAAGTATGTAAGATCAAAATATGTTCATTTTTAAAGTAATCGTTATCAGCCAGATAAGAAAATTTGGCCGATGTATAATAGATTTCCTTAGCTTCAGATGCTCAGTTTTGAATTGCTTGAATAAAGTGTATAATATAGTCTGTCATGTACATAAAATTATAATGAGTACATGTGTAGAGAGTGGCTATTAATAGTGAGATTTTTGTTTTTGTAATCAGGCTCTGAAAATTATATAAAAATGTGGATTTAGATCAATCAGGAAATATATTGGCTTTAAAGGGATCAATTTTTGGTATGTTTTAGCTTACCTCAAGGGCATCCAAGATGCAGGTGTCTTTGTTTCCGCAGTAGTTTTTAATATTTTAGATTTTTAGGTCAAACCGTTCTTGTCTGTCAGTCATATAATGGAGGTCTATGGTCACCACCTCAAAGAGCATGCACAGAGAAGTCCAAATTAAACATGATTTAATGACTCGTAAATGTAAGTACACATTGATGGCCTAAGACATGAAACGAGCGGTTTGTGTGAGAAAACAAACAGATCACGTCCAAGTGATCTGAAGGCACGGGCGCTTCGGTCTGTGCAAGCGCCGGAAGTGATCTCTCGCACAGTTGCGAAAAAAATTCAACGTTGTCTGTTGATATATCGAAATCGTCTTCCTAGCGATTTCCAGTATAAATATGTTTAGATCTTCACAGTGAATGGTAACACTTCGGAAATCTCTGTGTGAACATGAGTGAAGCACACACGCGAGAGATCACTTACGGCGCTTGCGCAGACCGAAGCGCCCTCGCCTCAGACAGTTGGCTCTGGTTACAAGAGGTAAAAACGATATAAATACTGTTCGTTTTCTCACACAAACCGCTCGTTTCGTGTTTTAGGCCATCAATGTGTACTTACATTTACGAGTCATTAAATCATGTTTAATTTGGACTTCTCTGTGCATGCTCTTTGAGGTGGTGACCATAGACCTCCATTATATGACTGACAGACAAGAACGGTTTGACCTAAAAATATCAAAATTGAAAATACTGCGGAAACAAAGACACCTACATCTTGGATGTCCTTGAGGTAAGCTACATACCAAAAATTAATTTCAAAGTGATCCCTTTAACGATCGAAGAGGCGATACAGAAGAGACGCGCGCCTATGGTGGTTCGGGTACGTGTGCCAAATGGACAGCGCCAGACTGCCATTCAAACTACTCTGGTGCCGACGACCACCAAAGTGGGGAAGCAAGTCGAAGACGACCTTAAACAATTGGCCGTCTTACCCTTGTGGACGCCGATCGTCAAGTTTTGAAAGAAGCCGAAAGTCAAGAAGATAAAGAGAGAAGAATATGATGAAATACATGCTTTATTTTTAACTAGATGAAAGAAATCCAGAGCAAGGGCATAAATATCAAGATAAATATTTAATGGTGCACGCCACGAAAGCGCAGTGGAAAGTGGGTGACGAATCTGACCTAAGAAGCATCAGCAAAGCCTCATCATCTTAGCGCATCGTCAGCGTTATAGTGACTTGAAGCAGAAATACATATTTAAACAGGTACACTGCTCCGGGAACTGTGAAAACAAACGACCGTCATTCCTCAAATTTAGCATATTATGCTGAGGATGCTGCAGTGACAGACGCAAACACGATTGCCCTCTTTACACCGGTATTTCAGGACAGCCTGTGGTTTTCTGTTCATAATTCACATGGTGCATTTTTTCCACCCAAGGCATTTATCAAGGATCTCAACATGACATTACATGTCTTTGACAAATGCTTTAAGGAATCAGAATAGCAGGAAAATAACTCATTAAAAAGCATTATACAGTACAGAATAGAAGACTAAGCGCTGCAACTAATGATTATTTTAAACATCGATTGATTGATTGATTGATTGATTGATTGATTGATTGATTATTTGTTGGTTATTTGTTTCAACGATTAATCAAAAAGTTTTTTTTTTGTATAATAAATGTTATTCCACATGCTGAAAAAACAAATATAGTGAATGTATCTCTGTGTAGGCGATCTATGCTAAACACAACCTGCAAAAAATGGAAACATTGCATTGTAAAATCAAAAAACAACTGCTTGTCCATCATATTTAAGTTAAAATCAATAAACATAAAAATTATTTAAAAAAAGAAACATGAACGCGTAGATAAAATGTTAACTGGTATTACTCTTACCAGACCCACTGTTATTGGAATATTACAATATTATTGGTGCGTTCAAGTCCAAGTGCGTTATTTACGACGAAGCAAGAAGATGGCGCTGTACCTTCTAAAAATTAAAGGATTAGTTCACTTTTGAAAAAACTTTTGCTGATAAATTACTCACCCCCATGTCATCCAAGATGTCCATGTCTTTCTTTCCTCAGTCGAAAAGAAATTTAGGTTTTTGATGAAAACATTCCAGGATTTTTCTCCTTATAATGGACTTCAATGGAAACCTGATGGTTCAAGGTCCAAACGACAGTTATAACAGTTACAGATGCAGCTTCAAATGTCTTTAAACCACACTAGACGATGAATAAGGGTCTTATCATGCGAAACGATCGGTTATTTCAAAGCTTATTCCAAAAATGTAACTTTTCTAAGGACAAATGCTAGCCTTTCTCCATTCTGTGAGGCGCGTTTGCAACGTCACGTAATACGTAATTACGTTCAAAAGGTCACGGGCAACGTAGCCGGAAGTACAGAGTCAGAGTGTTTACAAGTTGAACGCATAGGTTGAACGTGAAAACTAACTCAAACGCCGTTTACAAAAAAGGAATTAAAAGGTAAAACAACGATGTCGGACGATTTTGATTCTGTACTTCCGGCTACGTCGCCCGTGACCTTTTGAACGTAATTACGCATTACGTGACGTTGCAAACGCGCCTCACAATATATTACAAGGCTAGCATTTGTCCTTAGAAAAGATACATTTTTGGAATAAGCTTTGAAATAAGCGATCGTTTCGCATGATAAGACCCTTATTCATCGTTTGGTGTCGTTTAAAGACATTTGAAGCTGCATCTGAAACTGTTATTAACTGTCGTTTGGACCTCGGTTGGACCTGGTTCCCATTGAAGTCCATTATAAGGAGAAAAATCCTGGAATGTTTTCATCAAAAACCTTAATTTCTTTTCGACTGAGGAAAGAAAGACATGGACATCTTGGATGACATGGGGGTGAGTAAATTATCAGCAAAAGTTTTTTCAAAAGTGAACTAATCCTTTAACTACACAAAATACAGCAATTTAAAAAAAAAAAAAAAACTACTTTCATTTTAAATAGTTAAAAACGAGGAATGTGCATATCGGGTGTTTTGCTTTTTATGCTTTTAATTAATATATGAAGTCACTGTTAACTTTATTTTTTACACATTTTACAATCCTATTTTGTTGTAAATAAAAAAAGCTGACAATGTCACTGCTAAATAATATCTTTAAGTATTGCTGTATTTCGTTTCTCAGACGTGCCTCCAATTTGTAAACTCAGGGCTTAAAGGGTTAAATATGGTGGACAAGCAGTTGTTTTTTGATTTTACAATGTAATGTTTCCTTGTTTTTTTGCAGGTTGTGTTAGTTCACCCAAAAATGAAAATTACGCTTTTTGCTAGGGCTTTCTGTCCCTCCATTGTAAATATATGTTCGGTATACTGTCCTTGTCCAGAAAGGATATAAAGACATCACCAAAGTAGTCCATGTGACATCAGTAGGTTAGTTACAATGAATTTTTTTGAAGCGTCGAAAATACATTTTGGTCCAAAAATAACAAAAACTACGAATTTATTAAACATTGTATTCTCTTTCGGTTCTGTGTTCACGAGGCCACAGGGATGTGTTATCTGGTTACTGGTTACCAGACACATGTCAGCAGTGTCTTACATCAGCAAATTAAGTATTCTTTAAGTTCTGCGGACAGAACCGGACGACATTTATGTATGTACATACCGTACATACATTCCCAATGGAGGGACAGAAAGCTCACAGACTAAAACTAAAATATCTTAAACTGTGTTCCGGAGATGAACGGAGGTCTGACGGGCTTGGGACGACATGAGGGTGAGTCATTAATGAAATAATTTTCATTTTTGGGTGAACTAACCCTTTAAAAAAAATCCAGAGCTTAGTTCCCACTCGTATTTCCCACTTTTTGGTGGTGTCGGTTCAACTCATAAATTCAATCTTTCCGAAATGACCTTAATGCACCATATGTCCTTCGCTATATTTCAGATGCGCTTTGTTTGTCCATAGAGATGTGTTATTCACTACTGTAAACTTAACTGATGATCAAACTCGTTGCTTATTATTTTCATTATCCTTTAGGCCTAGTAGCCCTAAACTGGACTAAATCTCAGCACACTGTTCAATGGTGCATCAATACCTGAGGGATTAGGTCTTAATTGAATTTTAATTCATACTTCATATTTCAGGGAATGCATTCTTTAACATCAATGTGAATGGAAAGTGTCAATCATCTCCTAAAATAATTTTGAGAACCGCACCCAAATGCCCTGAATTCAACATCTCACAACACCATCCATCCATTTCTCTGATCTGACTCCTCACACCTCCAGATGGGTCCATTACACTGCATTGAAATCAAATCAAAACTGCTGTATGTATACTGCGAAAGACAATCTGTTCTGTACTATCAGAGCACAGCTAGTTATGCATGGCTGTCTCTCAAAACTCAATGAGAATCCTACATAAACAGCATTTTTGGGGCATCATAGACAGGCGTGTTAAGAAAAAATGCTGTCAGCTCACTAGGTTGAGATCTCAAACTTGCACATGTCATTTACAGAATGACAAATTGGTAGATTTACCATGTTTTAGTACCAAAAAATGCCATGTTTAAGACATTTGCTATGACATTTGATCAAAGTACCATGTAAATATGATTGTATTCAGTGGAGTATACGTTATATATACAAGACGTATTACTACCACGGTTATCAGTCCATGTGCCATATCGATTTGGCACATTGTACAACATACTGTAAAACATAATAATCCACAATAAGTGAAATAACGCGCTAAGATATTATTCTCCCAAATAACCAGCTTAGACTAGCGAGTCAATGGTGTTTACTGTGGTGTTTTACAGCAGCAATTCAGGGTTACCCTCCCCCACAGCCCACCTTAAAAACATCAGCGGTAAAACTGCAAGTGTTTACTCACCCTCTTAAAAGATATACAGACAATTCAAGAGATGATTCATAAAATGACAAGTGTCTTCTTCACACAGAGCACAGCAGTTCGTTGTATTCGTCTTGTTTTCCACTTGGAGACACAAGCTCTTCGCTCACTGTGCTTCCGTCCACTGGCAGGCCTTGAGCTGCGGACACTTGCGTACTACGTCACCGTAACTCTGCGTGAATGTGACGTGCGCAGTTTCTGCGCTCTTCCCGAAGTCATCTATCCCTTTTCCACCAAAGCAGTTTGATGGTGCGTTCATGTGCTGTGGAAAATAGGATATTTTTCACTTGTGAACTGGTATTTACCAGTGTGTTGCGTTCAAGTGCTTTTGTTGTCGTAATGTGGTAAAAAAAAAAGATGGAGATCCTGTTATTAGCTAAAACTATTTTAGATTGCTTAAAGGGTTAGTTCACCAAAAGTGAAAATTCTGTCAGTATTTACTCACCCTCATGTTGCTCCATGCTGAACACAAATGGAAGATATGTGGAAGAATGTTTTAATCAAACAGATCTCAATCCCCATTGACAACCATAGTAGGAAAAAATACATACTATGGTAGTCAATGGGGATTGAGATCTGTTTGATTAAAACATTCTTCCAAAGATCTTCCTTTGTGTACAGCAGAACAAATAAACACATAGAGGTTTGGAACAACCTGAGGGTGAGTAAATACTGAGAGAATTTTCATTTTTGGGTGAACTAACCCTTTAAGTCATCTGCAACAGCAAGAAAATTATTTATCAAAACTCAAAAGGTAAATAATATGCTGTATATTTTCTAGATCATGAATAGTATATATTTTTACCATTCACGACTCCACTGTCTATGCACGACTCTTGCGGTGCCTTCCGCCATTTTGAAAAGGTCAAAGGTTATTTCATCTCGGCAACTCGTCCATCAAAATATTCTACGAGTTGCCCAGTGGAAACGTTGGCGTTTGGTAATTTACCATAATTATCATAGCACATGAACACACCATGAGAGCCGGTTCGGAGCCGGTGCCTGCGCGTGAACCAGTTCTTTGTGTTTCGACAGCCAAATGCACCATATCTTTGCTGGACTAGAACCGTTCTTTTACCAAGACATGCTTACGTCGGGGGCTGGGGAGCGTTTAGATGTGCTCTAAACATCTTGTCTGGCCATAATAAAGGATCACAAAGCTAGGAGAAACATTTGCAGAAACACGATGGAGTCCGCCTTTGTATATCGCAAGAGTTTCAATGTGTATTCCAAGAGTTTCAATGTGTGTATCGCAAGAGTTTCAATCTGTATCCCAAGAGTTTCACTGTGTATCGCAAGAGTTTCAATGTGTATCGCGAGAGTTTCAATGTTTATCCCAAGAGTTTCAATGTGTATCGCAAGAGTTTCAAAGTGTATTGCAAGAGTTTAAATGTGTATCGCAAGTGTTTAAATGTGTATCGCGAGTATGTGTATCGCAAGAGTTTCAATGTGTATCGCAAGAGTTTCAATGTGTATCGCAAGAGTTTCAATGTGTATCGCAAGAGTTTCAATGTGTATCCCAAGAGTTTCAATGTGTATCCCAAGAGTTTCAATGTGTATCCCAAGAGTTTCAATGTGTATCCCAAGAGTTTCAATGTATATCACAAGAGTTTCAATGTGTATCGCGAGAGTTTCAATGTTTATCCCAAGAGTTTCAATGTGTATCGCAAGAGTTTCAAAGTGTATCGCAAGAGTTTAAATGTGTATCGCAAGTGTTTAAATGTGTATCGCGAGTATGTGTATCGCAAGAGTTTCAATGTGTATCGCAAGAGTTTCAATGTGTATCGCAAGAGTTTCAATGTGTATCCCAAGAGTTTCAATGTGTATCCCAAGAGTTTCAATGTGTATCCCAGGAGTTTCAATGTGTATCCCAAGAGTTTCAATGTATATCACAAGAGTTTCAATGTGTATCGCAAGAGTTTCAATGTGTATCGCAAGAGTTTCAATGTGTATCCCAAGAGTTTCAATGTATATCACAAGAGTTTCAATGTGTATCCCAAGAGTTTCAAATTTTATCGCAAGTGTTTCAATGTGTATCGCATGTGTTTAAATGTGTATCCCAAGGGTTTAAATGTGTATCGCTTGTATGTGTATCGCAAGAGTTTCAATGTGTATCGTGAGTATGTGTATCCCAAGAGTTTCAATGTGTATCGCAAGAGTTTCAATGTGTATCGCAAGAGTTTCAATGTATATCACAAGAGTTTCAATGTGTATCCCAAGAGTTTCAAATTGTATCGCAAGTGTTTCAATGTGTATCGCATGTGTTTAAATGTGTATCCCAAGGGTTTAAATGTGTATCGCTTGTATGTGTATCGCAAGAGTTTCAATGTGTATCGTGAGTATGTGTATCCCAAGAGTTTCAATGTGTATCCCAAGAGTTTCAATGTGTATCCCAAGAGTTTCAATGTGTATCCCAAGAGTTTCAATGTGTATCGCAAGAGTTTCAATGTGTATCGCAAGTGTTTCAATGTGTATCCCAAGAGTTTCAATGTGTATCGCAGGAGTTTCAATGTGTATCGCAAGAGTTTCAAAGTGTATCGCAAGAGTTTCAATGTGTATCCCAAGTGTTTAAATGTGTATCCCAAGAGTTTCAATGTGTATCCCAAGAGTTTCAAAGTGTATCGCAAGTGTTTAAATGTGTATCCCAAGAGTTTCAATGTGTATCCCAGGAGTTTCAATGTGTATCCCAGGAGTTTCAATGTGTATCCCAGGAGTTTCAATGTGTATCGCAAGAGTTTCAATGTGTATCGCAAGTGTTTCAATGTGTATCCCAAGAGTTTCAATGTGTATCCCAAGAGTTTCAATGTGTATCGCAAGTTTTTCAATGTGTATCCCAAGAGTTTCAATGTGTATCCCAAGAGTTTAAATGTGTATCGCATGTGTTTAAATGTGTATCCCAAGGGTTTAAATGTGTATCCCAAGAGTTTCAATGTATATCACAAGAGTTTCAATGTGTATCCCAAGAGTTTCAAATTGTATCGCAAGTGTTTCAATGTGTATCGCATGTGTTTAAATGTGTATCCCAAGGGTTTAAATGTGTATCGCTTGTATGTGTATCGCAAGAGTTTCAATGTGTATCGTGAGTATGTGTATCCCAAGAGTTTCAATGTGTATCGCAAGAGTTTCAATGTGTATCGCAAGAGTTTCAATGTATATCACAAGAGTTTCAATGTGTATCCCAAGAGTTTCAAATTGTATCGCAAGTGTTTCAATGTGTATCGCATGTGTTTAAATGTGTATCCCAAGGGTTTAAATGTGTATCGCTTGTATGTGTATCGCAAGAGTTTCAATGTGTATCGTGAGTATGTGTATCCCAAGAGTTTCAATGTGTATCCCAAGAGTTTCAATGTGTATCCCAAGAGTTTCAATGTGTATCCCAAGAGTTTCAATGTGTATCGCAAGAGTTTCAATGTGTATCGCAAGTGTTTCAATGTGTATCCCAAGAGTTTCAATGTGTATCGCAGGAGTTTCAATGTGTATCGCAAGAGTTTCAAAGTGTATCGCAAGAGTTTCAATGTGTATCCCAAGTGTTTAAATGTGTATCCCAAGAGTTTCAATGTGTATCCCAAGAGTTTCAAAGTGTATCGCAAGTGTTTAAATGTGTATCCCAAGAGTTTCAATGTGTATCCCAGGAGTTTCAATGTGTATCCCAGGAGTTTCAATGTGTATCCCAGGAGTTTCAATGTGTATCGCAAGAGTTTCAATGTGTATCGCAAGTGTTTCAATGTGTATCCCAAGAGTTTCAATGTGTATCCCAAGAGTTTCAATGTGTATCGCAAGTTTTTCAATGTGTATCCCAAGAGTTTCAATGTGTATCCCAAGAGTTTCAAAGTGTATTGCAAGTGTTTCAATGTGTATCGCAAGAGTTTCAATGTGTATCACAAGAGCTTCAATGTGTATCGCGAGTATGTGTATCACAAGAGCTTCAATGTGTATCGCGAGTATGTGTATCGCAAGAGTTTCAACGTGTATCGCAAGTGTTTGTATCGCAAGTGTTTCACATGTCTGTGCAAGTCTAATGTGAATGTGCAAGTGTTTCAGTGGTTTTGTCTCCTACAGCCTCCCATAAATCCATGCGACAAAAGTAACGCATCCGATGGACATCCGTCTAAAACCTTTCAATACACAACATCCTGTAAACGCGTCATGTGACTGCATCATGAGAATATACTGAACAGGACAGTAGTGAAACTGTCACAGTTCACATTTATTGAGTTAGATTAGTGAAGGTCTGGTGGTGGGGGGGTTGGACACACTGATTGGTCGCCCGGGCCTCTTCTAATCCAATTGAGTTCTTATGGCTGGGCTCTAAGAATAGGACTAATTAAGCTAAAACACAGCAGCGACAACATTTCAATGGAGGAAATGCTCCTGTACAATAACGGTGATATCCATCATTATAAAAGGAGAGTTTTTTGTCGGTATGTAGGCTAATTGAGAGGGACAGAGCAAGATGCTTGAAAGGATTTTTACTGAGCTGAAGATATCCGGAGGACAACTCTGCGTATATCGAATGAAGAAAGGTAAGCATGCGTTGCAACTTGTCCTTGAACGTTTAACGTTACATAGTCATAGATAAATACAATGTCTTAGCACACACACAGAGAAATGGGGGAAGCACAGTATTAGTGGAGAACATAAAACTGGAATGAGATGGCCATCTTCTCGACATATTTAACAGCGTATCATCTTAATAACAATTATTTATTTTCCCTTAGAAAAACAGTTTAAACCCTCTGGCACATTTATACCATTTATGGCAGGTACAATAATGAAGATTAGAGTGTTTTGTCTATTTATACATGGCATTTGCTTGAGAAACAGTAGGATAGGCCTACATCTGATTCTTTTCAACACAATATTAACATATACACTCTTAGAAGAAATGGTTCTATTTAGAACCAGAAATGGTTCCATCCTCCGCTTCATATATGGAACTCCAAAATGGTTCTATATAGAAAGGTTCTATAGGTAAAAGGTTCTATTGGCCAAGTATGGAACCCCAGGGTTCTATATAGAACCCAGAGTTTTTTAAGAGTGTATAGAACCTTTTAGGGGTTCCAAATACGTAGCACTGATAGAACCTTTTAAGGTTCTATATAGAACCTTTTCGTCTAAGAGTGTAGTCCAGAAAAGATGCTTTTTGGCCAACATTCTGAAAGACAGTGAAATATATTATTTTAATTATGAAGTTTTTAATCACAGTATCATTATGTCAAGAAGATAAAATCATGACAAACATTCATTTCAAATTTATACGGTTGAGGTGATGCTCTTGAAATTAGTGTTTTGTAGTAACTTAAAGGAAATACTGTTTCGGTCATACTTTAGATTTGTGTCCTCTTACTATTAACTAGTTATAACTACGACTTTTGCCTCAATAAACTCCTAATTATTGCTTATTAATAGTTAGTAAGATAGTTGTTAAGTTTAGGTAACGGGTGATTAAGGGATGTAAATGATCATGCAGAATAATATGTGCTTTATAAGTGCTAATAAACAGCCAATATAGTAATATGCATGCTAATAAGCAACTAAACTACACTCTAAAAAATGCTGGGTTGTTTTAACCCAACTTTGGGTCAAATATGGACTAACCCAGCCGTTGGGTTAAATTTTTACATTACATTTTTAACCCAACATTTCGGGTTTGTCCATATTTTACCCAAAATTGGGTTAAAACAACCCAGCATTTTTTAGAGTGTAAAGTGTTACCGCTGTTTCTACTCCACGATTCAATGCAAGTGACACTCTGAGGGGCAAAAGTCATGCTAATCCATTACGGAGGGCAACCGGAATGTTACTGCATAAATGCAATTACAAATAAATTCAATTCAATTCAAATTTATTTATATAGCGCTTTTCACAATACATATTGTTTCAAAGCAGCTTTACAGAAAGTGCATTTCAGAAATGTACATGAAATCATTTAGGGTATTAATTTAAGGTATAACACTGAGTCGTCTCTTCACAGGCGTAGAGTCGTCTCATTTAGTGATATTAAAATCACTATAAATCAATCTTATACAGTAGAACAAGATGCTTTAAAGTGATATTGAAAATTTTTAGACTCAATCTTTGCAAGCCAATTTGCACGTTAATTTGTACTCCAGCAGAAGATCAACTGATTAACCTTTCTTTGAGCCTGCATCCAACTGGAAAAAACCTCATTCATTCTTTTGGAGGAAGTTGTCATATGTTGAAACATAAAGCATGGAAGTCAATGACAACTGTCTTTTATTTAGCATTTTTTTGGTGCTTTAACTTGAGTTAGAAGACACATTAGAGCAAATCCACCAGGCTCTGTCAAAGCCAATTACTGGAGACGTCTTGCATGCAAGTGTGCAAAAGCGAGACTGACACGATAAAGAGAAGATGTGCAGTGTTTAGTGCTTTCTTACGTTCTATGCAAGCTAGGTAATTCCCCCATTTAACTCCTTTACTATGGATATGTTGCTTTCGCTAATCATAGCTTGCGCAAATGCAAATGCAATAAAGGTTACATTAGTGTAATGATGGACCATTTAAAGTTTAGTCATCTGATTTCATTCAAAATCCAAAATGAAAATTCTCTCATATGCTCACACTCGTCATTCCTAATGTGTAACACAAAAGAAGATGCTTAAACATGTGTCCGTGCTGCCTTTTTCTCTAAAAAATGAAAGTCAACGGGGTCCAGTGTTGTTTTGGACCCCATTGACTTATATGGACACTCAAAATGGTACTCATATATGTTGCTAGCTTATGGAAGGGAGTGCTTGAGGGAAAAGTATGTGAATTAATGTGGGTTTTCCATGGATTTATGCATACATTGGTCATTAAATGGGATCTGAACTTCAAATTAGCAACAGCCAAGATAGCCTGCAAGTAAAACACAATGATATGTGAACAGATTCTCTATTGTTCTCAGTGAAGGGTGGAAAGGGTGTGTGAATTCCTAGGCTAACAATGTCACCAAAAGTTAATTGGCGTTACGAATCAAAGAACCCAGAGTCTAAAGAAAGATTCAAGGTGTTTCCTGCCAAACAAGGGAAAACAGTTATGAAATCCAAGGCTTAGTTGAGTTGAATATGTACTTTGTAGCAAGTTCAAATCGTTATAGTATTTAAAAAAGAAAACTGACTGTTTCATATCACCTTTAAAAATGTGAACTCTGTAATAATGTCAAAGTACATTTTGACTCATTACACTGTAAAAAAGTATATGATCAATAAGTTATGACATTGCGCTAACTCATCAAAAAAGTTCAGCTTTTTAAAAAAACTTATTTAAGTTATACAAGAGTCAGAAATTTGTCAGTTTGATGTAATTTAATTTGAAATGACTCAAACATCCAAGTTGCTTTTACTTAAATTTAAGGCAGCCACCTTTTTTTACAGTGTAAGTTTGATAATCATGCTTTACTAGAGAAGTACACTTATGTTCATGTGTTGAACAGACTAAAGCACATACTTGATTATAAAACTTGATTTAAAAATACTTGCATGATTTAACTGTAGTGTGTTATCTGATATTGCATTTAGAGTTAATGTATTTTGAATGTACTAAATTTCGACATCCTCACAACAAATGTGTAGTTAACATAAATGTAAAAAATAAATAACCATGACATACAAGTTACAACAGAAATGGCATTTAACTATATTTTAGTTTGCCATAAACGCTAAATTGCCATAAAAGTAAATATGAAATAACTTTAAAAGATCAAAAAAGCAACTAATAGCATTTAATATGAATTTTAACTATAACACATTTTCATTCAATAGTAAATACACACTCAGAAAAAAAGGTACAAAAGCTGTCACTGGGGCTGTACCTTTTCAAAAAGGTACATTTTTGTACCTAAAGGTTGCATATTGGATTTTACCTTAGTTGTACTTATGCATATTACCTTAGTTGTACATTTTAGCACCTAAAATGTACACATTAGCACCTAAATTGTACATATATTAGCACCTAAATGCAGCACCTAAAAATGTACATGTTAGCACCTGAAATAAGCACCTAAATGTACATATTAGCTATATTAGCACCTAAAATGTACATATTAGAACCTAAATGTACATATTAGCACGTGAAATGTAAATATTAGCACCTAAAATGTACATATTAGCACCTGAAATGTACAAATTAGCACCTGAAATGCAAATATTAGTACCTAAAATGTACACATTAGCACCTGAAATGTACAAATTAGCACCTGAAATGCAAATATTAGCACCTAAAATGTACATAAAATGTACAAATTAGCACCTGAAATGTACAAATTGGCACCTAAAATGTACATATTAGCACCATGTACATATTAGCACCTGAAATGTACAAATTAGCACCTGAAATGTAAATATTAGTACCTAAAATGTACATATTAGCACCTGAAATGTACAAATTGGCACCTGAAATGTAAATATTAGCACCTGAAATGTAAAAATTAGCACCTGAAATGTAAATATTAGCACCTAAAATGTACATAAAATGTACAAATTAGCACCTGAAATGTACAAATTGGCACCTGAAATGTAAATATTAGCACCTAAAATGTACATATTAGCACCTAAAATGTACATATTAGCACCTGCAATGTAAATATTAGCACCTAAAATGGACATATTAGCACCTGAAATGTACAAATTAGCACCTGAAATGTACATATTAGCACCTGCAATGTAAATATTAACACCTAAAATGTACATATTAGCACCTGAAATGTAAATATTAGCACCTAAAATGGACATATTAGCACCTAAAATGTATAAATTAGCACCTGAAATGTACATATTAGCACCTAAATGTACATATTAGCACTTAAAATGGACAAAAGTTTACCTATTGAAAAGGCACAGCCCCAGTGACAGCTTTCGAATTTTTTTTCTGAGAGTGTAATATGCAATTAAGTGTCCAAAAATGACATTCAGTTCACACTTTTAAAGTGTATTAATTCCATACTCTTTTTTAAAGTATGCTAAAGTGTAGGAAGGGAGGGAAGACCAGTTATAAAATCCAGCTCAACCTTTTCATGCATGTGTGTGCTCTTGTAATGTGCTTGTGTGTGGCAGAATGAGCATGTTTGTGACCCTGGCGGAGGTGCTGGAGTCACGAGGAGCACCTCTGGAGGAGGACGAGGTCTGGGCTCTCCTCCTAGGGGCGGCAGAAGTCTTGATAGACATTTCCAGTAAAGGTAGAACGCTCTTTCAACTCTTTTGCATGCTATTCTCCATCACTGCCAACACAATCTCTCACCATTGTACCTCCTTCCCTTCATCCAGATCCTGGTAACATGTGCTGTGTCATCAGCCCCGGCTCCATGCTCCTTTCTGCAGTCGGCAGGATTGCCTTCAAGACCTGTGGCAGATCTGAGGCCGTGGGATCCTTCACTTCCCCAGAACTGTCGCAGAGCAACTCTTCCCCCAGGAGACCGGCCACGGAGAAGGTGAGTTGGCCTACTGACCTTCTTGCTGAATGTTAAAGGGACACTCCACCCATTTGCATTAAGATTTCCATTGTTAGAAATCCAGTCATACTATTGAATGGTCGTGCAACACTCTCATTTTCCCCTAAGGCGAGAGAAATCCGCTATTTACCCTTTTCACTTCCTCCCACAATGATGCAAAAAACGTAATTTTACGTCATTGTAGGAGGAAGTGTATTTCGGGAAAAACTACAAGCACTAGTCCCCACCCTTTCAAACCCGTCCAGGGGGTTGGGCCTGAAGCGCTAACAGACCAATCACAGATCAGCGCCAGTGCGTTTGATTTCACCGGCAGAAACTTTTTGAAAATATGGACGAAGGTACTGAATACGCAGACAAATGCATTATGGATAGTACGGATGCACCGAATATTCAGCCAACGAAAAGTTTTGGACGAAAATGGCCCGAAAGTGCATTTTTGGTTTTCGGCCGAAAGACTTTTATCACCGAAACAATGACGGAAACCGCACGTGCTTGTGTGAAGCAACATGTCTCAGTGTAAACACATAAAGATAAAAAGATAAACACGTGACAATGTTTATTTTTTAGAATACCACCACCAATACAAAAATAATCAAGTAAAACCCAGTAAACCCTGAGATTATTGCTTATGACATTACAAAATATATATATATATATATATATATATATATATATATATGCTCTTAAATATTTTCTAATTTCACCAAACATATTTCATTAAGTTTCGTGTACATTTGTATTAAACATGGACCTTTGTTCATTAAAAAGTCTTTTTATGCTATAGAGGGAATGCATTGATCCAGTACACCCCCCTCAGCCTGACTGAGTGGCAAAAGATCTGCTGCGTGACTGGATTTAATAGGGGAAACTGCGAAAATGCGACTAAAACAAACAATTTTATCAATTTAAACTAAATGTTGGACTCAATATAGTGTTCCTTACAACTTACTAAAGATATTGACATGCAGCCAGGAATCGTGTTGCCTGACATTTATGTTTGCCTGATTTCCACACCGGGGAAATAAAAGCAATATAGACCTAAAAATAAAGCAAATTTGCCTGTGAACGCTTTATATAAATACAATATAGGTAGGTCTAAATCCGGGAGATCACTTATATCAGTGTTATATAGCATATATCATCATATCGTCCAGCCCAAAAAATTCTTTTATTTTTTGGTCAGTGTTTATTAAAAAACATGCAGAATATGCAATGATAAATATTTAATTGATAAGTTGTTAATATATATAACAATAGAAAATATATGGGTATGGTTTTCCACCTAAATTCAGCATATTGACACACAATGATATCAGCAAATCCAGCTTTGGCTGACTGGAGTCCAGTTGTTTCTGTGAATTGATCCATTTGCTCCTCTTTCTGTTGCAGTCTGTAAAAATATACCTCCGATTTTTTTTGTCAAATCTAGTTGTACAGTCAATCGCAAAGCTCTTTCCCACTTTATATGTGTTGTGTTTGTTTTTTGCGGGAATTCACGCTGAAAACTAACACAGCCGCTCAGTCTTTTTGCCACTCACTGTGAGGAACTGTAGGCACACACACCAGCACCCTCAATTATATGCTCATTTTTTAAAATGTATGCAACTAATTTAGATATGCAAACTGGGTGCTGGTGTGATGAGAAGTTCGTGCTTGGCTTTGTTTTTATGAGAGAGCATTTCATTTAAAAACCTTTCTGCAGGCCAGTTAGTAGATTATTTAATGCACTGTACACATGAGAGGGGTCAGGTTTGAATTTTATTTTATACTGTGCATTGTTGCAATGTGCTAAATAAATATTTGCATAATTTGTCATTGATTTATTCTTTTAAAATTTTAGACTAATTTAACACTTTGTTTACAAAATATAAATCTCCAACGCACAGTCATGTACGTATGCGTTGTGGTGTAGTTTTTGGGTGAACTAACCCTTCAAAGAATTAGTTCACTTCAGAATGAAAAGTTCCTGATAATTTACTCACCCCCACTTCATCTGTTTATGTCTTTCTTTCTTCAGTCGGAAAGACATTAAGGTTTTTGAGGAAACATTCCAGGATTTTTCTTCATATAGTGACTTCAATGGGGACTGACAGGTTGAAGGGCCAATCATGGCCTTTTAACGTGATTACAGCTAGTGCAAGATGAGCATTTGTGGCTTAAAAGTATAAAATTTAAGAAAATGACAAACGGTTTGGCTAGATAAGACTCTTATTCATCGGCTTGGACCATGTAGAGCTCATTGAAGCTGCACTGAAACTGTCTTTTGGACCTTGACGCCTGCGATATGTTATGGCGCCGTTTTATTCATAAACAATATTTATATTTAATATTTATATTTAAACAATATGAATGTAAGCCAGAGGAGAACTGGCCCCCGACTGAGCCTGGGTTCTCCCAAGGTTTTTTCTCCATCCAATCTGATGGAGTTTTGGTTCCTTGCCACTGTCGCCTTGCTTTTGGCTTGCTTTGAGCTTGCTCAGTTGGGATTATTTAGTGTTTAGCAATGTTGTTGATCTGTGTTGTGCTACTTTCATGTTATCAGTGTGAAGCTGCTTTGATACAATCTGTATTGTGAAAAGCGCTATATAAATAAATGTGACTTGACTTGACTTGACTTGACCTTGAACCGTTTGGACCCCATTGAAGTCCATTATATGGATAAAAATCCTGATGTTTTCCTCAAAAACCTTCATTTCTTTTGACTGAAGAAAGAAAAACATGAACATCTTGGATGATGTGGGGGTGAGTAAATTATGTAGAAATTTAAATTCTGAAGTGAAGTAGAAGATGCACTTTTCAAGCATGTTTTATGGCAAATAATTTAGCATTTGTTTGCTCTGATTATAGATGGTGGTTTACTCACTAGGCATGACTCTCTACTGGGCAGTAGATTATCAACTTCCACAAAACCAGGTGGGTTCCTCTTCTTCACAATATCATCTCGTGGTCTTTGGTCATTTTAGACAGAAAATATTTTTGGAATGGACTTGGACATTAATAGAAATAGAATAGTCACACTTGGGATCTTCACAGTCAAAAATGACTACCAAAAATTAAATAAATTGAAGGTATGAAAATACAGTGGAATTTATTAGGTACAATCTACAAATCAGCCACGATGATGTACTCTTTGATAATGTCTAAATATACATCCAAATGTGAACCTATTAATTATGTCTGAAATACTCATATAGGCATCTTGGGAATACACAGCCCTATTATGTATGGTTTCCTTATTTCTCCCACCAGATGACACCAATCTGCTTGAAATCCCATTTTAAATTCAGCTTATTATGTTCAGTCTGTTTTGATCACAAGTGTGACCTTGAGGAATAGCAGAGGGTAACGTCAACATCAAATCAAATGTAACTCTTTTTGATGCAAGGAATGGCTCTTAAAATTAGCATTTATACGCATCAATGATCAAAACTAGCTAACGTCCAGAGTTTATTCGTTTTCCAACTCCTTGAACACTTATTGCACTTCGTCTCTCGCCAGCCTGTCCAGCTCAGCGACGACCTGAACAGCCTTTTGCTGAGCATGTGCGAGGACGTGGCTCACAAACGGGTGAACCTCCTGATGTTGCTGGAGACGTGTGAACATCACCATAAGACTGCTGTCCTGCCCCGGCCAGAGAAAGCCATCAGGCAGATGGCCGAGGATGTGCTGCAGGTAATGCCGATCTACAGTGATTTAAATATTTAAAGGGTTAGTTCACCCAAAAATGAAAATGATGTTATTAATGACTCTCCCTCATGCCCGTCAGACCTCCGTTCATCTTCAGAACACAGTTTAAGATATTTTAGATTTAGTCCGAGAGCTTTCTGTCCCTCCATTGGAAATGTATGTTCGGTATACTGTCCTTGTCCAGAAAGCAAATAAAGACATCATCAAAGTAGTCATGTGACATCAGTGGGTCAGTTACAATGTTTTGAAGAATCGAAAGTACATTTTGGTCCAAAAATTACAAAAACTACGACTTTATTCAGCATTGTATTGTGTTGCGGTTCTGTTGTGGATCTGCGTTCAGTGACGCGGCTGATGTGTGTCTGGTGCGGCTGAGCTTCGGTGACAGTCTGAGGGAGAGGCATGTTGTACAAAACAATCTTCACAAACATGTCTAAGGATTTCCACACAGAGGAAGACTTGCATTTTTTGCCCAGCCATATTTATTTGAACCCGAATATACGGACGCACCAGACACACGTCAGCTGCATCTTACGTCAGCAGCGGCACTGAAAGCGGATCCACAACAGAACCGGAAGACTATACAATGCTGAAAAAAGTCGGAGTTTTTGTTATTTTGTGTTTCTGTCTCGGTTTGTCGGTTGTTGACTTTGCACGTTGTGTGAAGCTGTTCCTGTTCCTCTCCCCGTTCCTCTTCCCATTCCTCTTCCTTTTCCTCTTCCCGTTCCTCTTCCTGTTCCTGAACCTCTTCCCGTTCCTCTTCCTGTTCTTATTCATGAACCTCTTCCTGTTCCTCTCCCTGTTCCTCTTCCTGTTCTTGTTCATGAACCTCTTCCTATTCCTCTTCCTGTTCATCTCCCTGTTCCTCTTCCTGTTCTTGTTCCTGAACCTCTTCCCGTTCCTCTTCCTGTTCATGAACCTCTTCCTGTTCCTCTTTCTGTTCATCTCCCTGTTCCTCTTCCTGTTCTTGTTCCTGTTCCTCTTCCTGTTCTTGTTCATGAACCTCTTCCTGTTTCTCTTCCTGTTTCCTGTTCTTGCTCCTGTTCCTCTTCCTGTTTCCTGTAATTGTTCCTCTTCCTGTTTCATGTTCTTGTTCCTCTTCCTGATTCCTGTTCTTGTCCCTGTTCCTCTTCCTGTTTCTTGTTCTTGTTCCTCCTCCTGATTCCTGTTCTTGTTCCTCTTCCTCTTCCTGTTCTTGTTCCTTTTCCTCTTCCTATTCCATGTTCTTTTTCCTGTTCCTGTTTCCTGTTCTTGTTCCTCTTCCTGTACCTGTTCCCGTTCCTCTTCCTGTTCTTGTTCATGAACCTCTTCCTATTCATCTCCCTGTTCCTATTCCTGTTCTTGTTCCTCTTCCTGTTTCATGTTCTTTTTCCTGTTCCTCTTCCTGTTTCCTGTTCTTGTTCCTCTTCCTGTACCTGTTCCTGAACCTCTTCCCGTTCCTCTTCCTGTTCTTGTTCATGAACCTCTTCCTGTTCCTCTTCCTGGTCTTGTTCATGAACCTCTTCCTATTCATCTCCCTGTTCCTATTCCTGTTCTTGTTCCTCTTCCTGTTTCCTGTTCTTGTTCCTCTTCCTGTTTCCTGTTCCTCTCCCTGTTTCCTGTTCCTCTTCCTGTTTCCTTTTATTTAATTCAATTTGATGGAATTTTACCATACAATTGAAAATCTTAAAAGCAGCTGAAATATTTTTTTGAGTGTAGGTTAACTAAAAGTTGTATAATATCTTACATTTTAGTGTTTGTAGTGGAAATATTTTAAAACAATCTATGCAGTTTTCCTTTTGAATACGGATCTGCCATAATTACTGAGCACTGTTTTTTTTCTCTAGTCTGAAAAAAGCCCAAATGATTCTGCTCATCTCGTAGGCCGAAGCCAGATGGTTAGAGAAAGACTTCGGGGTATGTTTCTCAAAAGTCATTATTTGATCAACTGAAGTTTTTTTAAATAACCTCACCAAGTGGTGCTACTCTTACAATGAGGGCAAACACTGCCGTATAAACGCCTTTATGTCCGTTAGGAGCTTCCTGTCAGAACTCAGTTTGGCCTCTGAAAGGGAACAGCACACCATCACCAGCAGACTTCAGCAAGTGAGTAGCACTCAACTCATCCATTTCACATCATGAAAACAAAAGTAAGCCAGGAATTTCATTCATTGGGAATTGACTGGATCATGGAAAGTGGGAGATCAGAATGATTGTTGGATGGAAGGAGTTTTGTGACATAATTCAAGGAAAGTTGCCACTTCCAGAGCCATTTTGATAAAAGATTATGAAGACAAAGTCGATTTGCACTGATGAATTACACAGTTAGACCAAGAATGTGTATCAATTTTCATTTAATGTTGACTTTTATGATTTAATTGAGCTTATGTGCATTTATTCCTGTCTCTAATTTAAATGAGGAAATAATTTGTTACATCATAAAAAATAAGGTCCCATTGGATAACATTGGTTAATGCATTAATTATCATTAACTAAAAATACATTTATTACAGTATTATTAATCTTTGTTAATGTTAGTTAATAAAACTACAACTTTGTTTTAGTTCATGTGAGCTCAGGTCCATTAAATAACATTAGGTTATATTAACATAACACATTACCAAATGTTAAAATTAACATTAAATTGATGCTTTTAGAAGTGTTTTTCATCATTAACTAATGTAATTAAATAATGTTAAAGGGATTGTTTACCCAAAAATGAAAATTTTGTCATCATTTGCTGACCCTCAACTTGTTCTGACTAAAGGACTTTAGCCTGTATGAGTTTCTTTCTTCTACTAAACACAAAAGAAGATTTTTTAAGGGATGTTGGTTGGCTTTTGTGTTTAACAGATTGTAAAGTGTTTTTAATTAAGATCTAAATTCACTCCTATTTGTCTTCTAGAAGTCATAGTTCACACCAAAGGAGCAGAAACAACACATGGCTGCCCCAAAGTCCTATTCTTGACAGACGGCGTCCGTTCAACTCAAGGCCAAATCAGTTGTTTGGCTCTTCATTTAGCCTTAATGAACGGAAAATAAAGGTAAGGAACTAAGGGCCTGATGTACTAAACAGGGCAAATTAAAGTGAGAGCATAATCCCATTAAAGCGCACATGGGAGTGGAAAGTTCTGCAGGTGATTTACTGACAATGCTCACATCAAATAACACAGACGCTGCCCGATCAATGTTTAAATCTTAATGTAAATATATTTTTTTTAAATATGCTCCATGTCCCACCCTGTCTTGCTGTTTCCTGGGAAATGGTGCACATTTCAAGGCCCTTCAGTGGTAAAACATACTGTTAATTGGGCGTTAAATACACTCTAAAAAAATGCTGGGTTGTTTTAACCCAATTTTGGGTCAAATATGGACAAACCCAATTTTTGGATTAAAAAAATGCAATTTATAAATTTAACCCAACAGCTGGGTTTGTCCATATTTGACCCAAAATTGGGTTAAAACAACCCAGCATTTTTTAGAGTGTAATGGCACAAACACCAGTAAACTGACAAGCGCAAACCTTAGTAGATCACGTCGCATGATTCATCTAAATACTTTCATCCTAGAAATATTACGTCTGGGTTGTTTTAACCCAATTTTGGGTCAAATATGGACAAACCCAGCCATTGGGTTAAAAGTTTCCCCCATGTATAAAATGGCGCAGTGGATAAGCCACATGCCTTTGGTGTGAGAGACCCGGGTTTGAATCCACTGTGAGACACCAATGTGTCCCTGAGCAAGACACTTAACCCCTAGTTGCACTCTAAACAACGCTGGGTTGTTTTAACCCAAATTTTTGCCCCAATATGGACAAATGTTGGGTTAAAAATGTTCTTAAAAAAATTACAGTTGAAAGTGAAAGTTAAAGTTTAAATGGCATTTTTAACCCAACATTTGGGTTTGTCCATATATATTTGACCCAAATTTGGGTTGAAACAACCCAGCATTTTTTAGAGTGGCATGCAACTAGCCTGGATGCCAGCCCGAAATCCCCCCACAACATTTTTTGGTCAGGAATTTTCGGTCGGGACTCGATCCATTGAGGAGTAATTATGATCAGACAAGAAACGTTCGGGCCAATCAAATTGCCAGGGCGGGCTTTATACGATGATGGACAGATGATCTGCAAGGACGTAATCATCACGTTATCAAAGAGCGAAAGAGGGAAAATTAATTTTAATAGACAAACAGAAAACTGCAATCAAGGCATTTGTCGATCGGAAAGATATTTTTGCCGTCCTTCCTACACGATTCGGGAAAAGTGTAACTTATCAGCTGGCTCTGACGGTCGTTAAGAAGATGGGACGTAATGAAAAGCCTGTGGTCGTTGTGGTTTCTCCTTTGGTGGCACTCATGGAGGACCAAGTAAAAGACGCAACACTCGTTATTTAACTTCTAAAATAAGTAAGTTCTGTAGTTGAAAACTGCGCTATGCAAAGTTGTTGAGTTCTGCGTTGCTCTGATTGGTTGTAGGTTTACCGACTATCCAATTGAGTGCAGAGGTTTTGTTTTTCCTGGTTCGGTTAAGACACGCCTCATAATAGCAATTTCAGGCTCATATTCCAACAAGAATATGAGTATGACGCAGTCAGGCTAGCGTGCAACCTCTGACATATAGCAATTGTAAGTCGCTTTGGATAAAAGCGTCAGCTAAATGAATAAATGTAAAATGTAAATATGTAACCCAATGGGTGGGTTTGTCCATATTTAACCCAAAATTGGGTTAAAATGACCCAACAGTGTAACCCTGTTTCTGCACTAATTTTTCACTGCGTGTCTTCAGAAAATCCCGACGGTAGTTTTTTAATGCCAAAAGAGGGTTTGCACCGGAGCAAGCTGTTAGTAAATCTATTATTCAGGGATTTTGACTGTTTCGTGTGTGTGCTCGTCCTCAGGATACGGGTCCAGAGTTCATCCGAATGCTGGAGGAGCCTCTCGTCGTTCTAGAGCTGCCTAATTCTATTGTGGTCAGTTTGATTTCCTAAGAGCGAGAGTTTTGGCTCTACACCAAGCATTGGCAGTCTGGGTAAGAAGGATCACTTAGTGCTGATTTCCTCTCTCTCTTTCTGAACAGTCAAACAAAGGGCGTTCGAGTTCCAACCACAGGGACTTGAGAGTCATGATGCCAAATGGACAGAACATTCTGCTCAAGTGTGACGTCAAGTCCAGAGGAGGAGACGTCTTTGATATGATCATCGCTCATGCAAACCTCGTGGAACATTTTTACTTTGGCCTTGCATATAGTGACGGTAATTTACCCCATGCATTAATATTAATATTAATTTACTATTATAGTTTTTATTAATTTAATTTTCAAATGAAAATGGATATATATTTTAGGGCTGTTCAAAGATTAATTACGATTAATCCCATCCAAAATAAAAGGTTGTGTTTACATAATATATGTGTGTGTTGTGTATAATTATTTTGTATATATAAATACATATGCATGCATGTATATATTTAAGAATTATTTGCATGTAAATACTGTATGTATATATAAATACATAATCCATAATATATATAAATATATATATATATATATATATATATATATGAATAACACATTTTCTTAAATATATACATGCATGTGTTTGTATTTATATATACAAAATAATTATACACAGCACACACACATATATTATGTAAACACAAACTTTTATTTTGGATGCGATTAATGGCAGTTAATCTTTGCTCAGCCATTATATATATATATATATATATATATATATATATGTAAATTTCTGATAAAACCTTTAGTTCAGGAAATGTGCTACCAGGATGGTGTGTCCATTAAAACACAGGGGTCCAATACTCAGTCCATTATCATTTATTGAAAGGCCACAGGGTGAATTGGAATCAGATAGAGTTGTATGGTTTCTATAAACAAAAGAACAAACAGAATCTTAAAGATAATTAACACCATAGAACTTCAACTAATAAATCCTTAATCACATAATACATTTCAGAATTAGACAAACAGAATCTCAAGAATTAACATAATAAAACAAAGCAAACAAACTTACATTGTCAGGAACACATAAACTCTACAAAGGCTCTCATTAGGAGAGAAAGAAAGGACAATCTGTTTCCATTGCATGTGCCACACACCATCACACCAAACAATAGTACCTTATCATTCATTAAGTGCACCTGAGGAGACTTAGCTCCTCCCCTGATTGGCAATGTCATGTGATCCATAGGAATTCTCAACAGCCGCCCCCAAATGTGTAAACATTTGACCCAAGAGAATTCTGTCCAATTTTTTAATTCAAGTCATCTGAAAACTTAGTAAGGACCACCAGACGACTAACTGGGCGCATGTAGTGTTTCCCTTTAATGAGAACCTCCACAACCCTTATCCTGCCATCAGGACTTGGCGAGACCTTTGTAACAGTTCCTATAGGCCAGAGTCCCCGTGGAAGCTGCGGGTCGACGACCATTACGACAGCATCACATGAGATCGACTTTCCGTCCTGCATCCACTTCTGACGACTTTGAAGGGAAGGTAGGTAATCTCTGATAAAACTTGACCAGAATCTATCAGATAGAACTTGACTATGCCTCCACTTTCTACGTGAAAGTAGTTCAGAATCAGCATACATTACTTGAGGCAAAGAAGCATCTTGCCGCCCCATCAACAGTATGTTAGGAGTTATGGGATCAGGATCTGATAGATTAGATGTCGCATATCCAAGAGGTTTAGAGTTCAACATCTCTTCCACTTCTACCAGCACTGTATACAAGACTTCTGGAGACAGCACCTGGGTGCCCAATGTCACCCGTAAAGCGGCCTTAATGGATCGGACCTCTCTCTCCCAGCATCCTCCAAAATGCGGAGAATATGGAGGGTTAAAGTTGAATAGAATCTGGTGCTTAGAAAGCAATTCTTGAAGGGCAGGGCTGAGTTGATGGAACGCTTCTCTGAGCTCTCGCTCTCCTCCCCGAAAATTAGTTCCTTGGTCTGAGATAAGTTCATAGGGTCGACCTCTGCGAGCTATGAAACGCCGGAGGGCCAATAGAAAACTGTCTGTATCTAAACCAGATAACAGCTCAAGATGAACACATCGTGTTGTCTGACATTTGAAAAGGAGACCCCATCGTTTCTCATGTCTGCGGCCGACACTGATATTAAAGGGGCCAAAGCAGTCCATTCCAGTTGACCAAAATGGGGGCTTGTAAAGGCGGAGTCGAGAGGGAGGAAGATCAGCCATCCTCGGGACTGAAGGAGACCCTTTCCATCTTCTACACTCACGACACAAACGCTGAACTGATTTTACAGCTTGTCGTCCACGTAGAACCCAATACTTTCTACGAAGTTGGGCAAAGACTCTTTGCGGTCCTGGGTGACACAGAGTTGAATCGAGATCTGCAATCAGAAGCTTAGTTATAGGATTCTTAGGGTCCAAAATTATGGGATGGATCGTTTCTAACTCCAAGTCCTTGCTCTGCCGAAGGCGACCTCCCACTCTTATGAGACCAGTCACAGGATCCCACTCAGGTGCCAATTCAACAAGTCTACTTTGTGCTGAAACACCTTGATTTAGTTGGAGTAACTTGCTCTCCTCAGGAAAATCCTCCTCTTGTGCCTGACGAAGTAGTAACAGCTCTGCTTGATTCTGATTGAGCTTGTTCTCTGGTGCTTGATCAAGAGAAAACTTCTCAATGGTATCAGAAATCAACTCTGACCAAGTGTTAAATTGGACAGGGTCCACTTTAGAAAGACTTGGTAAAACTTGTGTCTGGCTACAAAACACAGTTTTTTTCAATTCCAGTGATACTTCAGGAGTAGTTATTGGATACTTTGGCCATTGATGAGAGGGTAAGGCAAGGAAAGGAGGTCCTCGAAACCAACGACTAGTAGGAGATAGCTCTGTCAACTTCTTTCCTCTAGTAATTTCATCGGCCGGATTGTTTCCAGTATCCACATATCTCCACTGGTCTGGTGTAGTATAATCTAGAATCTCAGTTATCCGATTAGCTACAAATATCTTGTACAAACAAGATTCAGAGCAGATCCATGTCAAAACTGTGGTTGAATCAGTCCAAAGCGTCACTTTATGGATGGGCACAGAAAGTTCCTTCACTAAAAGATTTGCCAGTTGAGATCCAACTAGAGCCGCACATAGTTCTAGACGTGGGATGGAAATGGTCTTCTTTGGGGATACTCTAGATCGAGCCATAATAAATGAGGTGACAACTTCATTCCCATTTGAAAGATGAAGGTAAGATACGGCTCCGTAAGCCCGCTCTGATGCATCACAAAATACATGCAGTTCTCTCCTCTCTTCACCTGATCCTACTGATCCATACCACCGAGGAACTTGGATCTTGCTCAAGCCAGATAGCTCCTCTTCCCAAGCCATCCAACTTCTCTTAATGCCTTCAGGAATATCTGGATCATCCCATCCACGCCCAGGTTTGATCCACAACTGCTGGAGCATGATCTTAGCACGTGTAGTGAAGGGAATAATAAACCCCAACGGGTCATATTGTCGAGCAAGGATGCGATACAGGATCCGCAAAGTCAGGGTCTGGTATTCCACAGGTCGGTGCTTATACCCCAAAGTATCCTGTAAACAGTGCCAGCTCATCCCGAGTGTGCCCTCACATGGATCATTACAATCATGACTCAGCCATAAGTCGGTTTGCAGGGAACGTGCTTCATCTGGTAAGTGGTCAACCACGGAGGCATAATTACTACTCCATTGTCTGATCTCAAAGCCTCCTTCACTCAGTGCAGAACGTAGTTTCAAGATCATTTCCTTTGCGTCGTCAATGGTAGGCAAACTTTGCAAGCAGTTATCGACATAGAATGAATGAAGGACTGAATCTTGAACTTCTGGATAGGTAGTTGAGATTCTTTTTGCATGTCTTTGAAGAGCATAAATGGCACAGCAGGGACTTGATGTAGTACCAAATGGTAAAACTTGCCATTCATAAACATCCACTGGGGCATTTCTGGACATATTTCTCCACAGAAACCGTAACAATGGCCTATCTGAAGGTAGTAATCGAACTTGATGAAACATGGCGCGGATATCGCCACTGATTGCCACTTGATGTTCTCTAAAACGGAGAAGGACTCCGAGAAGAGAAGAACCCAAGGTCGGGCCAGATAACAAATATGAATTCAGGCTTTCACCGTTATATTGATAGGAACAATCAAATACTAGACGGTGTTTCCCATTATGTTCAACTAGATGATGGGGTACATACCAAGATTCATCAGTGGAAGTCATTGCCTTTGGGTTCAGTTTCTTCACATAGCCAGATTCCACTAGCTTTTGAATCTCCTCCTCATATATTGCTGCACGCACTGGATTCTTTGCAATCTGGCGTTCGGTACGACGCAATGCTGGCATTACTGATTGCTGCAGAACATTCAATCTGGGTGCATGTTTGGCTCGAAGTAAAGGAGTGGCATATCTTACAACACCATTCATTTCCAGGCATTCGGTTCTCTGCTCCAGACACTCAAGAGCGTATTGGTCTTGCTTTGACCGAAAAACTGCCTTAGATGTCTGATGATACGGAAGAACATCGACTTGCCACAATCTTTCTACATCCCTCTGTAACTGATCTTCGGTGGAAGTAGCCAAGAAGTGGCACTGAGAGATAGAATCAGTCTCAGGAATCAAGGAAGTGGGACCCTGCAGTACCCATCCCAGACGAGTATGTAATGCAATAGGACTTCCAGGAGGACCAAATGTTACTCTTTCTGTAGAGCATAACAAATGAGGATGATCTGCTCCCACTAACAACAGGGGCTTAACCTGATGGAATTCTTCAAGAGGAATACGTCTAAGATGCTGATAGCATCTTTGAAGAGTACGGACAGGGTAAGTCTGTTCAGGTAAGTCCAACATCTTGGATGTAAATGCAGCACTGATCTCATATTTCCTTTGGCTGAAAGATGCCGGAGCGATGGAAAATGTAACGTTAGTGCCCTTAATCTCTTCAGAACCCTGTCGAATTGTTCTCAACCTTAGAGACTCAGCCGGCCCATTTAGGCCCAACATCTCTGCAGCTGGAGAAAGGAGCATAGTTCTTTCTGAACCGTCATCAAGAATGGCGTAGGTCTCCACAGTCCTCCCTTCATAACTCAGAATGACTTTCACCACCTTCAAAAGCACAGAATTGAGGCCACTTGGTCTACTCAAATAGAATATACCAGAGTCAGGTTTACGAACATTGACTTCGTGCAAAACTCCCAGATGGCGCTCTTTGCAGTATGGACAAGGCTTCTTCAAGTCACAATTAGCTGAACGATGGGTCCGACCACATCTCCAACACCGACCATTATCCAGGATCCACTTCTCTTTACCCTCCGCATCAAACTGTTGGAACTTCATACACTGACTCAAGTGATGAGCTTGATGACCACAAAAGGCACAGAAAGGTCCTGGGTCTAATTGTTTGCTATACGAATTAGTAGGCTGAAACATTTTACCTTTCGGGTTGTAATGTTCCTCTTGATTTGCACCCTGCAAAAAGGTTGCTGTTGTATACCAAGATTTGGGAGGTCTTTCTTCTCTCATTTGATACTTTGTTGCCCCCTTTGATTGGTCAGATACTTGAACAACTAAACTTTGGCATTCTGCTTCCTCCTCTAGCCATTTTGCAAAATCCACCAAATTATAAGGAACATTCTGATTAACAGTTCGAATATGTCTTGCAAAACTGGAAACATGATGGGCTGAAAGTTTACTTAATAGCTGGTGAACATGAGACGAACAGGCCAACTCCTTCGCCCCTTGATCTTGACCCCATGATTGGAGCATGCCTACTAGAGCCTGAACTCGTAGCGCAAACTGACCAAACCCAAGGGAATCCCCAGAACGTATAGCTGGAAGGTTTTGAATGGAAGCCAACTCCCGCAACACTAAGTGATGAGGTTGGCCATACTTCCGTTGCAGGGCATGTAATGCTGTAGTATAAGGCTGGGGATCATGAGCATATGCCAGGGCTAAATGTCGCGCATCATCAAGCTTCAGATGATCCAAAAGAATATGGTATTTGTATTGTTCTGATTCCTCTGAAGGCAATAGATTTTTTAATGCCATATTTAGCATTGCAAATTCTTGAGGATCGTTTCTTTTGAAACATGGAAATGAAGGCCTCTCAATTCCAGCCAGTCTTGAATTCCCAGAGGAAGGGTGAACACAAGCTGTCACTACTGGTTGATTCACCACTGAATCTCTGGACTGGATCACACCTGAAGATCCCAGCGGTGTGTGAGTTCTAAACACAGGAACATTACTAGTAGCAGTCACATCTAAAGGACCCATGGATGGTCCGAACTGTGCAGGAGGTATCGAAGGAACTTGAATCGATGATGGCATGGCCATCGGAAAGACATGACTTGGATACACAATAGGTCCATAAGGGGGATATAATGCAGGAGGAGGAACAGGTACAGGATAATTTGGAAACATCCATGGAGGAAATCCATTGCCTTGCCCTTGGCTAGGGACAGGCCCACCGCTTCTTATGAAACGCGAATCATTGGCTGGATAGATGGGATACAATGGCTGTTGGATTAAGGACCAAGGTGGAACATTGCCAAACTGAGTTGGATTCATACTCATTCCAGGAAGATTCTCTGAAGGCTGAAACTGAGAGTGAGCATACTGTGTAGCAACTGGTGCTGTTAACATTCGGGCCTCAGGTAGCTGTAAAGAACTGGGTTCTAATGATCCACCTCCTCCTTGTGGCAATGGTGTAGGCAGCATAGATCTTGGTGGAGGAGGGAGAGTACTTTGTCTGCTGAGTTGAGGAGGTGATGTAGATGGATCAACATAATGTCGGTTTGCCTCATGTTGTCTTAGGCATTCACCCAATTCCTGAACAAGAGATACTCTAGAATTATCATCCTCTTGATTATGTTCAACAACAGGAGATGTTGCCTTAGAACTCTGGTTGGAACTGATCGAAAAGGAAGAATTTTGACTTCTTATCTGCATTGTTCTCATACTCTGGCTCAGTTCTGACAACATTCCTTTTATTTGCTGTACGTCACAAGCAAGATCCCTCACCTCAGCCCGAGTCTCAGCTATGGCAGCCCCCTGTGATACTTCTAGAAGCACAGAATCAGACGTAGTTTGTCCTTGTGGACAAGATGGTTTCCTTGACTGAATCAAATAATCTCGATGCCATCTGGGGGGTTTGATATCCGTTTAGGTCTCGTAGAATCATTTTGTTCCATCCTAGCAGCCTCTCCGGCTCGAAGGACCATGTAAATTTCTGATAAAACCTTTAGTTCAGGAAATGTGCTACCAGGATGGTGTGTCCATTAAAACACAGGGGTCCAATACTCAGTCCATTATCATTTATTGAAAGGCCACAGGGTGAATTGGAATCAGATAGAGTTGTATGGTTTCTATAAACAAAAGAACAAACAGAATCTCAAGAATTAACATAATAAAACAAAGCAAACAAACTTACATTGTCAGGAACACATAAACTCTACAAAGGCTCTCATTAGGAGAGAAAGAAAGGACAATCTGTTTCCATTGCATGTGCCACACACCATCACACCAAACAATAGTACCTTATCATTCATTAAGTGCACCTGAGGAGACTTAGCTCCTCCCCTGATTGGCAATGTCATGTGATCCATAGGAATTCTCAACAATATATATATTCCATTTTCATTTAAGTTAAATATTTAGTCATTTTGTTGTGTTTTAAATATAGTTTTTATTCATCTTTATTTCAGTTTTAGTTATTTTAGTTAAACTAAATGAAAATTTGATTTTATTACAGTTAATGTTTATTTCTGGTAATGATTTAGTTTTTTTATGATTTTAGTTTTACTTTTACTTAATAACCCTGTTATTTTAAACATAATAAAAAATATTTATTTAATTTAAATAAATAAGATTTTTCAAATAATTGTTATATATATAAAAAAATCAATATATATTATATAAATAATTTAATTATATATATATATATGTATATATATAATTAAATTATTTATATAATATATATTGAATTACTGTATTTACATTCTTCGCATATATACACACACACACGTATATGTTTCTATGTCTGATATTGATAATTAGGTCAGTGTGTCAGCTGGGTTTGTTCACAGTATTGTTTTCTCTTTTTCAGATAATGAATTTTTCTTTCTTGACAATGACATGAAAATATCCAAAGTTGCCCCTGGCGCCTGGAAGAAAGTGCCCACTACCACATTTGTGCTTCATTTCCGCATCAAATTTTTTGTGCCGGACGTCTCTTATCTTCTGTAAGTCTCTTCCTTTCCCTCATTTGTAACCCTGGACTGGTACAGTTTTTTATATTGTGATCTATACATCATCTGAAAGCTGAATAAATAAGCTGTTCATTGATGTACTGTTGGGATACGAATATTTGAAAATCTGGAATCTGAGAGTGCAAAAAAAAAATCGAAACATTGAGAAGATCGCATTTAAAGTTGTGCATTTAAGTTTGTGATTGTGCTGCATTCACTCACAAAAAACAATGTTTAATATATTTATAGTAGGAAATTTACTAAATATCTTCATGGAACATAATTTTTACTAAATATTCTAATAATTTTTGGCATAAAAGAAAAATCCCTAATTCAGACCCTTACAATCTATTGTTGCCACAAATATACCAGAGTATATTTATATATCCAGGGTCACATTTGATAGTGTGTTTTTACCTGTTCCTGTTGGCCAAGTCCCGTTTACACGACAATATTTTCAAGTAAAAACGTAAAACTTTTTTTTTACGTTTTAGCCATTCATTTACCGTATGTCAACAGCGTGTAAATGCAAACATCTGAAAACGGGTTTCAAAGTGCAAGTTTTTGAAAACAATACCGTTATCGTCTCATTGTATCGTCTCATCTCTTATCGTCTCATCTCATTACATGTTAAAGGGATACTCCACTTTATTTTGGAAATAGGCTCATTTTACATCTCCCCCAGAGTTAAACTGTTGAGTTTTACCGTTATTGAATCCATTCAGCCGATCTCCGGTTCTGGCGGTACCACTTTTGGCATAGCTTAGCATACATCATTGAAGTGCACAAGACCATTAGCATTTCTCAAAAATAACCAAAGAGTTTTGATATTTTTCCTATTTAAAACTTGAATCTTCTGTAGTTACATTGTGAACTAAGACCGACGGAAAATGGTTGTAAAGTTGTGATTTTCTAGGCTGATATGGCTAGGAACTATACTCTCATTCCTGCGTAATAATCAAGACACTTTATGAGTGCAGCAGGCGTAAGGATATGACGCGGCGCCTGAAAATAGTCCCCAGCTCGGTATTAGCCTATTTTGTAACAGAAGAGTCAAGTTTTAAACAGGAAAAATATCAACTCTTTGGTCATTTTTGAGAAATGCTAATGGTCTTGTCCACTTCAATGATGTATGCTAAGCTATGCTAAAAGTGGTACAGCCAGAACCGGAGATCGGCTGAATGGATTCAAAAACGGTAAAACTCAACAGTTGGGGAGTTGTAAAATGAGCCTATTTCCAAAAAAAAGTGGAGTATCCCTTTAAAGGCACATATAGTGTTTCTTTACAAAGTGACATCGCCATCTACTGGCCTGGAATATGCTTTAGTCGTTTTTGCAGATCCGTGTGAACATTTACTTAGGTTGTCGTCTGTAAAATGCATATGAAAATGTTTCCGCTTTTAGTGCATCTTTGTCGTGTAAGTGTGCCCTAACTTTGCCCTTCGTCGTGGCAGACACAAGCTGACCCGTCATCAGTACTATCTCCAGCTGAGACGGGACGTCCTGGATGACCGGCTGCCCTGTAACGAGGAGACCTGCTTGTTTCTCGGTGCCTTGGCTCTTCAAGCCGAGTTTGGGGACAGTATGCCTGAGGTATTCCAGATCAGTGTTGTTTTAGTATCACTGATATATTATTATTATTATTATTTTAATAATATATTACATTTCTCATTTTCATTTAGTTTAAGTTCAAAAATAACTAAAACAAATAAAAAGAATTGTTCGTCAATATTAGATATTGTATTTATTGAATATCGATATTTATTTATTTATTACAATTATTTGAAAAATATTATTTATACATTCCCTGGGTGAGGTGACAACTTTAATTATATAAATTAATATTTTGAATTAGTTTTAGTTAGTTTTTTTTATAATTTTCCATTTTACGTTCAGTTGAACTTTTTGGCATTTTGTTGTGTGGTTTATTTATTTTTCTATTTAATTTGTATTTTTGTTTTCAGTTTTAGTTATTTTAGTCCATCAAGATTTTATTTTTTAAAATTTTAGATTTCATTTGATCTCAGTTAACAAGTAACAAAATAATTTTTTTATGATTTTAGTTTTAGTTTTACTTAAGTAATAAAACCTTGGTCTGGTATTTTAAAATTAATATTTAAAACAAATAAATAATCTTTTTCAAAATACATTTTAAAAGCATAATATAATAAATAATTATATATAATATATATTTTTAAATTCCGACATTGATGAATGATTAGTTTTAGTTATGTTACTACTTCAACTGAAACTAAATGAAGATGAGAAATGTTGTCTTGGCATTTATCTGAAATAAACACGTGACGGTGTTTCTATGATTTGTGTTTATTCTCAGTGTTGCTCTGCTATACTGTATATCTGTTCAGTGATGTCACACCTATAAATGGTGCCGAGCGTTTATAAATAATACGATTACAGGATGCATTGAGAATGTATCAGTTCCAATATATATTTAGCTGATGCTAGATGGTTATGTAATGCACTCATTTATATCATATTTATGTGTGTGGATACTCGTTTTAGAACGATTTAAAGAAAAAGCATGTTTTCTGTGTCTTATGAAGGTCTATGGGAAGAACTACTATCAGCCGGAGCACTACGTTTCCAAGAGTGTTTTGCAGAAAATGGCAATGCCTTGCCTGAAAGACGAGTTGCTACGGTTACACGCCAACAACGCAAACATGACTGCTGAGGAGGCTGAGATCGAGTTCCTCAAGGTTATATTTACTTCTGTTCTTATTATATGATTCCTTATGAAAGTATAAACTTCACCTTTATATGAAGTACAGTATGTAGGGTAGACTGAGACTTATTGTCACACATTTATATTTCTATTGAACATTGAACCATTGAAGCATAATAATGCTCATTATTGGCAAAAGGGGCATGTTGTCACACAGTATGGGGCAAGTTGTCACAATAGAACCTGCCATTAAATTGAGATTTTCAACAAAACGAAGACAGTAAAATAATTATGAAACAACAACAATGCAAAAGGTAACAGAAATATCAAATTTAAAAAAATAAAAATGTTAATAATAGGCTAAAATTAAATTAAATTACTGATTTAACATTTATTCCAAATTCTAAATCTTGATAATATGAATAATTCAAATAATTAAAAATATATAAAAATTAATTTTACATTTTATATATATATATATATAGATGAATAATTAGATCAATGTGTCAGCTGGATTTAAATATTTTTTCTCTTTTTCAGATAATGAATTTTACAAAAATATCCAAAGTTGCGCCTGGAAAAAAAGCGCAAAAGTGCATACATTTGTGTAATTAGACTTTTGACTCAAAAACTCATAGTTATTGAGATATAGGTATATTGTGATAACCAGTCTCAGACGCCCCTATATATTAAAGTCATTTAAGACACACTTAAAATATCAAAAATATAGATACAGTACATTTTACAAAATGTACTGTATCTATGGTATGAAACAACAGATATACAGTTTAAGACAAAAGTATTAGGTAATATCTAGGTTAAAAGTCTGAAAGTTGAAGTTAGATCTGAGATAGTTCTTGGTTTAACTTCTAATGCGATGAAATTCAGACATTTTTAAATTTGGGGGCCACAAGTGGAGTGAAAATAAAGAATGAGAAGGGTGGGAAACGTGACAGCTGCATTTGTTTGTGCTGCTCTTCATCCTCCTGCCATCTATTGGATTTATTTAAACCCATAATGACTCAGCGGGCAACTGGCCAAGTATTTCACGGACACCCTTAGGTCTGAACAGCTTTTCTGGAGCGACGATTGGCAGTGGGTGTCCTACATTACATAATCTGTCCAATTGACTTGGCAGCACTGCCTCGACTCCCCCACAGAGCGTTCAGCAGCTTCCGGAGTACGGGGAACTGTGTCACCGCGCCGCCCGTGAGAAGAAGCCGGTGTTTGGAGAGCTGGTCCTGGGAGTGTGTGCCAAAGGCATCATCGTGTATGAAGTTATAAATAACTCACGCACCACAAGCCTTAGATTCCTCTGGAGAGAGACCAGCAGTATCACCTCAGCCGTGAGTCCACACTAATGCAGAACTCTGTATCATCTTCACAGGTTTATTTGTATTCTCGTTAAAATAGAAAACATACATAAAAACGTTCAAAGATGTCCTCCTATCCAAGTTGATTGTGCACATTGGAAGCATTTTAAGTAAGCTATTCGTACGATGATTTTTTCCTTAAAGTTCCTATAAAGCTTTTTTTATTTTATTTTTTTTATCCAGATGTACATTATTTTAAAAAGTCAAAAAAGCTGTCTTTGCGGGCTTAAAAGTAAAATAAATGTGTAGGTATAGTGTAAATGCCCAATAAAAAAGTCTTGTTTATATATATATATATATATTAGGGCTGTCAACCGATTAATCGCGATTAATCGCATCCAAAGTTTATGTTTACATAATATTATGTGGGTGCACTTTGTATTATTATTTTGCATATATATTTAAATACACACACATGCATGTATATTCAAGAAAAAATATTATTTATATATCAAATATTCATATTTATATACAATATAATTCATATATAAATCCATTTACAGTATATACATGAAAATATTTCTTAAATATATACAAGCATGTGTGTGTATTCATATATAAAAAAAATAATTATACACAGTGCACCCACATGTATTATGTAAACTCAAACTTTTATTTTGGATGCGATTAATCACCCTAATATATATATATATATACTTTTTCATTAACTATAAATTTATGACTTTAAACCCCACAAAATATGGAGTTAATATTGTGCCATAACTAAAACAAATCCAGGATTTTGCAAACAAATTAGATCTGCTTTGCAAAGGAAAACTCGGCTCGCAAACGAACAGAAAGCAATGTGCAAGCGCTAAATTAATCCCCCAGTTTAGCGCCATCTACTGTTTTAGAAGAGGAAGTTATGGAAGCTTGTTTCCGCCACAGATTGAAAAAAAAAGGTAATTGCCACTTTTTTTCTCACAATTGCGAGTTTACATCTCTAATAAAAAGTCGCATTTTTTTTTATTTAGTGGCTGAAACAAGCTTCCATAGGAAGTCGCTCAACTGCATTTGTGAGAATATCGAGCCGAGATCTCATAAAAAGCCAATTGTCTCACAATCATAACAGACTGATATGCATTTGTATGCACTAGATTTGGAATTTGTTCAAAAGGTTACATGCAATCTGTATTTATTTGTGAAATGTTATCTATGCTCATTTATTTATATTTGTAAAACACGATACATATTTGTTACTCCACTGCATTTTCGTTCAAATTAACCTTTGTACTTGCACTTTGCTTTCTGTTTGTTTGCGAGTCGAGTTTTCCTTCGCAAAGCAGATCGAGTTTGTTTGCAAAATGCTGGATTTGTTTGTTTAATTATGGCACAATATTAACTCCATACTCAAAGAAATCTCAAAATTGAAGGAAAGAAGTTAAAGGGATACTCCACTTTTTTTGGAAATAGGCTCATTTTACAACTCCCCCAGAGTTAAACAGTTGAGTTTTACCGTTTTCGAATCCATAGATCCGATTTTCTGATATTTAGAAGAATATCAGTAACCAGACAGTTTCTGGTCTCATTGACTTCCATAGTATATTTTTTTTCCTACTATGGAAGTCAATGAGACCAGAAACTGTCTGGTTACTGATATTCTTCTAAATATCAGAAAATCGGATGTATGGATTCGAAAACGGTAAAACTCAACTGTTTAACTCTGGGGAGTTGTAAAATGAGCCTATTTCCAAAAAAAGTGGAGTATCCCTTTAAAGTAACCTCTTTGATACAAGTAAATTGTAGTTAGCATAATTGTATTACTGTTTTTTTTTTTTTTTTTTTTTTTAAGAAATGTAGTAAACCAGGTAAATGGCACATTTTGTCAAATGGAGTATCCCTAAGAAAATGTCACAATATTCGTAATTCAAAAATTAAGTATATTTGTAAAATATTATTCTGTAAGATTTAAAGTTTACATTTTTTTAAAATCTCTTCTACTCGCCAAGGCTCCATTTATTTTATTAAAAACAGTAAAAACATTAATATTGTGAAATATTATTACAACTTAAAATAACGAATATGTGAATAGTTAGTAAAGTATAGTTTATTCCTTTGATCAAATCTGAATTTTCAGCATCATTACTTCAGTCTTAGTGTCACATGATCCATACGATGATTTTGTTTAATTATTATTGGTGCTTGGTGTATTAATAATGTTTAAAATAGTTTTTGCTGCTTTTTGAGGAAACTTTGATCAGGATTCATTAATGAATAAACTGTTCAAAAGAACAGCATTTACTTGATGTCTTTATAAATGTCTTTACTGTTACTATTAATTAATATTTTCTACAATATATATATATATATAATTTTTATTATTATGTTGATAATATTTAGGTTGTGTGAATTAAATTAAACTAAATTAAAAATCAACTAAATCGAGGACTGTATGATTTAATCTGATGACGTTGGTCAACATAATAATTCTAACTCCTTTGCTCTCATCAACACAGCGACGTAAGTTTGTCATTGAGAGCAGCACCAGTAAAAAGAAGTACACCTTTCTGACCGAAAAATCAAAAGTGGCCAAATACCTCTGCGAACTCTGCTCCGCACAGCACAAGTTTCACAAGGAGATGAGCTCTCGCCAGCTCACACACAGCCTCACCTCAGGTTAGTCCACATCCACTCCAATAAAGATTCCCTTTAGTTGGGCTTTTCTCTGTTAGTGGCTCACGATAAACAGCAGTGTGCACGTGTCTGTAGAGGACAGTATTGTGCAGTACGCAGCCGTGTGTCGAGCTCAGAACCACGAGGTTGCGCTCAACGACGACAGACGCCTCGATCCCGCTGCCGACGACTCCATGAGCAAACTCTGTGAGGACATCGCTACCCGCCTCGAAGCCAAGATCAAACTACAGAGAGACTTATTAGACTTCACCGGGTGAGAACAAACTCATGCATCCCATGTGCTACGACCATGAACCATGTCTGTCTTTGTGTTAAAGAGGTGTTTGGGCTCTACTAGAAAAGGTGTTTTCCCAGTAACGTTCCTGTCTATCTTCTGAAAAGCACACTGTGCTCTGATTGGTCAACTGGAGCAGTGTGTTGTGATTGGTCAAGTGTGTTTGGGAAATGCCCCGCCCCTTACCATAACCACCATTTTGACACTCACTCAACCAGGCCCCGCCCCTTTATTCTGCATCTTAATTATTTAAATGAGGAATATTGTGACGTGTTCGTTCCCGGAAGAAACTCAAGACAACAATGGAGGCGTTTCAGATGCTGCGTCCCAATTCGCTTACTTATACTACGCCCTAAAAGTATGTACTCTTTTTGTGAGGAAAAAGTACATACTTTTGAGTGTGTAGCAAAAGAGTAGGCAAGCTTTGGGACGTACTATCACGTCATCTTTAACCGTGCATCCTGTCACCGTAAACTGCCCTGTCAATCAGTTAAAATCCTCCATTCTATCTAATTTTATTTCCTACCGTTTCGGAGAGCACGTTCATCTGTCAGTTGTGGGTCTTTCATGCTCTCCTCGTGTTTGCAATTTGAATATGATGATGCATTTAAAACGTAATGGCTAAACGTGTCTTTACAAAAGTTCACAATGTTGCTGCAAATGCAGTATAATGTGGACAACATTGAATAAATTCATTTTCGTCAGTTTAGATACTGATAATTTCACTCACAGCTCTTTATCTAAACCTCTCAACACAACCGCGGGGACTCGCGCGTCCTCCGTATCGACTACGAGTCTGTAGTTTTTTAACACTTTTTACTCGTGTTTGTAGTTCTAACCGAATCCTCGTCCAACGCGCAGTGGTTTGTGGGCAATATCAGCCGTTAGAGTGCGCATCGATCTACACTTCGGATTCGGACCGGAAAAAGTAGACATACTACAATTTGGGACGTACTAATTCTATTTTCGAATACTATTTAGGACGGATAGTATGCGAATTGGGACACAGCAAGAGAGTTCAGAAACAGTAATATAGAGAATAACTGCTTTTGGAGGGACTTTTTCACGCTTAACCAGGAACTTTACACACTAAAGGAAGATGAACATATAAAAAAAGCATAATAGGTCATCTTTAAGGCAAAAATGTTTGAAACCACTGGTCAGTTTTGGGCTATTTTGCTTCTAATAACATATCGTCTTTCCAACTGTTGTAAAGAAAACATTCAAAATACACATTTAAGTGTTGATCTTCTTAATCGAATCTGTAGATTTTAATTACAATCAATCTCGGCCGTGAGTTTTTCCTCAGAAATCTCCACATATAAACACTAAACTTTACTGTTTTGTTCATATTCTGAAGTTTCGTACTGAGGGGTTTGTTCAAATATATCATTCACCTGGTTAATAGCACATTTTACTCTAAATAACATGGTGGAAATGGGGATTTTGGGGTTGTTTTCTGATTTATGTAATGATAAACCCAAATCCCCGCTCTGTAAACAAAGTCATGTTGATCCATTCTTGATCCGTGTCTTGTCTGTCACTTCTAGATCCCTAAGTCCAGCTTTACGGGGAAACTCTTGTAGTTCTTGGAAGGATTGCTCTGAAATCCCTTCATTGTACTCTCCTTCAAGAGGTAGGATTGACCATCAACCCATAACATGAACCGGTGTTATTGGGAAACAGCGCAATGCATTGTGTCCTTTTCTCACAGGTACTCCAACAAGTTCCCGACCTCCAGAGAGGGAAATAATCTGTGTTTCCCTCAAAAAAGACCCTAAAATTGGCCTTGGTAAGTGGATTATGGATGGATCATTATTAACTGATATGGATTGAACTACTCAAAAAAAAAAATTGTACTCTATTCTTATGGGTTGATTTAATTCCATGTTTTGAGTAAAGACTACCTTCATTTATCGGCCATGACACGCTAAAAGAAAATAGCTAAAGTACACTTAACATTTGTCAATACATTACAAAATTACCTTTCAAAAATTAAGCAATATAGACTTTAAATATCCACCATAACTGAACACTATCAAGTATTTTCTATTTACTCAAAGAGACATTAACTATGTGTAATGTTGCTGTTTGAGCATCAAAAAGCTCTCTCAAGCGGGACTTATTCTCTATATCAGTGTTTCTGAACTCCTGAAACGCCTCCATTGTAGTCTTAAAATTTTCTTCCGGGAACGAACACGTCACAATATTCCTCATTTAAATAATTAATAAGCAGAATAAAGGGGCGGGGCCTGGTTGAGTGAGTTGGTAGTGTGTTAAAATTGTGGTTATGGTAACGGGCGGACCATTTACCAAACACACTCAAAGCGCTTGGCCAATCACAACACACTGCTCCAGCCGACCAATCAGAGCGCAGTGTGCTTTTCAGAAGGAGGGGCTTCATAGAGACAGGAAGTAAACAGAGCGTTACTGACAGACTGGGAAGAGAGGAGCCGCAACAATAGAGAATATGGGAAAATAATGTGTTTTTTGAAAACCTATGAGACCCCAAAAACAAAATCAAGCCTTTGAAAAAGGGCATAATGGGTCCCCTTTACATAACACTACTCTCATTGGAAAGCACGCTGGGAACTAAACATCCATGCAACAAAAAAGATTCAGATAGTCCCAACACAAATGGATAAAGTAAACCTCAATTTTACATATTTAGGTGGATTAAACACAATAAAAGTACATTATTCACAGCATGCATATAGAATATGATATTATTTGCCTCTAGGTATTGTTATTGTTGGAGAAGACAACACAGGGAAACTGGACCTCGGTATCTATATTGCATCAATTGTACCCGGAAGCCCAGCTGACCGAGATGGACGCATCAAACCAGGTGAATCCGTACAATCATCAGATTGTTGTGTGTTAATAACATCAAGACATGACCTCAGAAGTCGCTGCATGAACATTTGTGAAAGGCGAGCTCCATGTTTCCGACAGGTGGTCGACTGATCTCTCTCAACCAGCTCAGTCTGGAGGGCATGTCCTTCAGCGAGGCCGCCGACATCATGCAGAACAGCTCCAGCGAGGTGGAGCTCATGGTCTCGCAGCCAAAAGGTACGATCATGCCGTTAAACTAGTTATATTCTGCTGCACCTACTCTAAAAATTGTTCCACTGTCAAGAATTTCACTCACAAATTGCTAGTACATTACATTTCATTTCATAAATTATAAGAAACGGTGAGCGACACATTGATATGAACTTGACATTTGTTAGACTGAAAGAGTCTCAATAATCTTTGCAACTTAATTTTTTTTACAGTGTACAAGAAAAAATTGTGCTAAAAGAACTTAAATTTTGAGTAATCAACTCAAACAATTGTGTTTATACTACAAATTATTAATATAAGTTGACTAATTTTAACCAATTTCAACATAATTGAGTGGTGACCCTAGAACCAAACCAATGCATCTGATCATTTATAATTAATATGATATATTAATATAATTTATAAATTATAATTTATTATAATTATGGACAAACCCAAATGTTGGGTTTCAAATTTTAAACCAACTTCAACTTTCATACATTTTTTAATTGCATTTTTAATCCCAACATTTGGGTTTGTCCATATTTGACCCAAATTTGGGTTGAAACAACCCAGCTTTTTTCGGAGTGTAAGAATATGAAACAATAACTATATAAATTAATAACAATAAAACTTTTTTAATCTATTATTTTCCTTATCCTATACTATGGGCATGATTCAAATTTTCACTCACCAAGTTATCAACAATTTCTGAAGTAAAAAAAAACACATTTAGGCAGACATTTCTAATAAATACACTCTAAATAATGCTGGGTTGTTCTAACCCAATTTTGGGTAAAATATGGACAAACCCAGCCATTGGGTTAAAAATGTAATTTAAAAATGTAACCCAATGGCTGGGTTTGTCCATATTTTACCCAAAATTGGGTTAAAACAACCCAGCATTTTTTAACATTTCAGTTTAGATTAATGTAATGATCAACACATTGTCAACAGAACTCATAAAATTGTGTTTATACTACAAATAATTAATATAAGTTGACAAATTTCAACCAATTTCAATATAATTGAGTCGTGACCCTAGAAACAAACCAATGCATCTTATCTCTATCAGTTTATAATTAATAATTACTTTAAACGTAAAATATACACTCTAAACAATGCTGGATTGTTTTAACCCAAATTTGGGTAAAATATGAACAAACCCAAATGTTGGGTTTCAAATTTTAACCCAACTTCAACTTTCATACATTTTTTATTTGCATTTTTAACCCAACATTTGGGTTTGTCCATATTTGACCCAAATTTGGGTTGAAACAACGCAGCTTTTTTCGGAGTGTAAGAATACACTCTAAAAAATGCTGGGTTGTTTTAACCCAATTTTGGGTAAAATATGGACAAACCCAGCCATTGGGTTAAAAATTTAATTTAAAAATGTAACCCAATGGCTGGGTTTGTCCATATTTTACCCAAAATTGGGTTAAAATAACCCAGCATTTTTTAGAGTGTATGAAACTATATCTACATAAATTAATAACAATAAATAATTAAACTTTTTTTTAATCTATTATTTTCCTTAACCTATACTATGCGCATGATTCAAATTTTCACTCACCAAGTTATCAACAATTTCTAAACATTTAGGCAGACATTTCTAATAAATACACTTTTTGTTTTAACCAAATTTTGGGTAAAATATGGACAAACCCATCCATTGGGTTAAAAATGTAATTTAAAAATGTGACCCAATGGCTGGGTTTGTCCATATTTTACCCAAAATTGGGTTTAAACAACCCAGCATTTTTTAGAGTGTAACATTTCAGTTTAGATTGATGTAATGATCAACACATTGTCAACAGAACTCATAAAAAAATCCATTTTGTTTTATTAAATTGATAAATTTGGATGTTTAAGATGCAACCATACATGTAGGCTATATGAAAATGCCGTTGTGAAATCCTCAGCTGTGCACAAGCGTGAAGGCGCCGGTCGTCTGGCAGAGAGAAACTACACGTCACAGAGCACGATACCGGCTGACAGTCGAGCAGGGGACGAGTATCTGGACGAGCTGGTCAGTGTGATGATGACCCCTAAAGGCACCAGCAGGCTTCACATCCCTGAGGTCCGAATTATAAACGCACAGGTACTGAACATGCTACCTTTTAGAGGCTGGAGAAATGGCGTGATTTCTATGAATGTGTGTATATTTGTGCTGTGTGGATGCATGATTGTTTCTTTATCTAGGTCATTTTGGCCTAAAATTGTTTTATAAAAATAAAAAATGTAAATACATTAAACAAATTTAGTATTTTATAGGTTCTAAATACACATGACACTTTTAGCTTAATTTGAAAATGTATAAATTCTTTAAAAAAATCTATTTTCTTTACTTGTTTAGAAAATATGACTTTCACTGTTTATATCAGCAATGTTTTTAAAATGTAATAATTCATATTTTTAAAGAGTAACTAAACCCTAAACCAACTTTTTTTAGTTAATGATCTGTAATAATGGATCTTTATTAATACCAGTCATTGATTCGAGTAACTTTTTTGACATTTGTGTATAAAGTGTTTTATTTCTACAATATATGGTGTAAAAACGTCTTAGTGCTGCCCTCTTCAGGTTGAATGTAGCTACTGCAGTTGGATGTTCCGCACTTCGTGACGTACGCAGGTTTCCGTTCACCGCGCTCTTGGTACGAGCGTCAGTATAAAAACCAGCTTGTTTCGTCAAAACCACTGTAGCGAGTCAGGAGTTGGAATTGCGAGTATTGAAAACGATCAGGATAGAGTGTTTTAGCATCTATTTCGTTCCCGGCCTCTATCTCCGCTGGTGTCCGCCCACTTTTTCAGCATTTTTCAAATATTGCCAGTGGGTGGAGTCAGGCTCTGACCAGGGGTTTAGATACCCTTTAAGGTGGATTTAAGGGGGATACTTTACAATAAGGTAGCATTTATTAACATTAGTTAAGTTAACCTGAACTAACAATGAACAATACTTCTACAGCATTTATTAATCTTAGTTAGTGTTCATCTCAACATTTACTAATACATTTTAACATTAGTTAATGCACTGTGATTTCAAGAGAAATATGAAGCAGCACAACTGTTTTCAACACTCAATGTTTCTTGATCATCAGATCCTCATATTAGAGTGATTTCTGAAGGACTGAAGACTGGAGTAATGATGCTGAAAATTCAGCTTTGATCACAGGAATAAATTACATTTTAACATATATTACAAATATAAAACAGTAATTTTGGTGTGTGCCTGAGGTTAAAGAACCATGTGTGAGAGAGATAGAATCATGTCTGATAGTTGTGTCCTTTGTTTCTGTTTGTTTTGACAGGATGATTATTCCAGGTCAGCGTCTCTGATCAGCCTGAGACCTGAAGAGTTCATTGTGATGCTTCAGAGATCTGGAGGTAGCCTGGGCATCAGTATCGCGGTAAGCGCACTGTTTCATAGTTTTATAGGTTTTGACTTTGAGAATTAAAAAAAAGTGGGGAACGTATACATTTCATAAAATAAAAAAAATAGCAATTCAGATGACACGGCTGTCTTAGGGTTTGGTTATGTTAATGCTTTCTTGTCTTTTATTTCGATATTGGTCATAGTCTTGTTTCCTGGTGGGTCATGTGATTTCTCCTCATGTGACCTTGTCTTTTGGTCATTTAGTGCATTGGTTGGTTCTTTTGTCCAATGTTCTCATTGGTTCATGTCCATTAGTTCCAACTAAAAAGGTCTCAGGATCCGACGCAACTGAGTGATTCATAAGACAAGTTTCGAATTGCTGGGAGGGAAGTTATTGATCTGTGTATCTGTGAATCTAAGGATCTAATCAGTCCCTCCAGAAAAACGCGATTATGCGATCGCTGAATTCAATGCAAAATCAGCCAAAGTCCGCATATTTATGCGGGGGCCGCATTTTTTCAAATACGCCGCACTTTCGCCACATAAATTGCCGATTTCCGTGCAAAATATGCGGGGTTTGCATAATTTCATAATCCTCGCATTTTCGTTGCTAAAAAAGTCACATGTATCTTAGCAGAAAGTTGAGAAATGTTGCGTTTGCTTCACACAAGAGCAGCCATTTCCCCCTGTTTCCATGGGAACGGTATGAAGTGACGCAATTACGCGACGCCAGACAGACTCACGGAGGCGATTGATCTCACAAATTGAACTCGTATAACTGTCTGTCGAACGTTCTACTGTCACATTGTTACTTAATAAACAACATAAGATAAAAGAAGTAGCATCAAACAGAAATTACCCGCACACACATGGGGTGTTCGAGGCACACATATAGAGTTCAACAGGGAGCGCGCAGCTCTTAAAGGGGCCACACCTTATTTACACTCGTTACAGTCTGAAATAAAACAAGATGAGAAATTAAATATTCCCAGCACTTTCTATGATGTAGTATGCTTGTTTATCAAAGGAAGTAATAAGAAATGACTCTTATATTAACAGGATGTTGGGGGAATCACTTTTTTTCTCTTTTTCATCTAACCGCAATTTTTGCAAGTTCCCTCAATTTTTGCAAATTCCTGCAATTTCATCGCATAAAATTGCATAAATATCCCACATATTCCATCGCATTTTTAAAGAAAACGGGCCGCATAATCAATCAATTTTTGCCCGCAACAATCACTAAAAATCTCCGCGTTTTTCTGGAAGGACTGAATACTATTATGGTAAATGTTATGTATAAATCGCAAATTTTTTCAAATTTTTTTGAAAATTACCACCACAAAACCAGTCAAAAAAAATCGTGAAATCCTGGAGGGACTGTCTAATAAAAACAGCACACAGAAGTCTGTCACTGCAGATCTGAAGCATAGTGTGTGTGGAAATTAGAAGAAAACAGCCAGACATCAGCCGTCATGGCCGACCACATCGCAATCCACAAAAGATATGTCGAAGTAAAGCGCTTGAGACTGGTAACTAAGATGTCAGACTCCTCAATTATGTTGTTCTGTGTGAAAATATTGTAGGCGCCGTGAAAACCTCAGAATACAGTCATTTTAGTCATTTTCGAGGATCCGTGCGAATCATTTTGACAATGGTGTCGTCTGTGTACACTTGCACTCTAAAAAATGCTGGGTTGTTTTAACCCAATTTTGGGTAAAATATGGACAAACCCAGCACATTGGGCTAAAAATGTAATTTAAAAATGTAACCCAATGGCTGGGTTTGTCCATATTTTACCCAAAATTGGGTTAAAACAACCCAGCATTTTTTAGAGTGTGTGTAGTTGTATACTTTATACTCGTTTATATAAGAAAAACACAAATGTTTTCCATTTTTAGTCCATCGTTGTCGTGTAAACATACCCTAAATTCATTTTACGCTTAAGTATATTTTCCATGTATACTTTATGTAGCAAGTATATTAGTGTACTACATAGTGTACTTATACACCCTAAAAAATGCTGGGTTGTTTCAAATATGGACAAACCCAAATGTTGGGTTAAAAATGCAATTAAAATGTATGAAAGTTGAAGTTGGGTTAAAATGTGAAATTACATTTTAAACATAACATTTGGGTTTGTCCATATTTGACCCAAATTTGGGTTAAAACAACCCAGCAATGTTTAGAGTGTATTCAATGTACTGGTAGTATACTTGTACTATTTCAATACTTCTATCGACTAAATTGGCCCACTTTTTAATTGTAAAAAAACTATTTTTTTTAGGATTGCAGCTATATGACTACAAAATGTACTTTTATAAACTACAAAATGAGTTAACAGTATAACTACATGCCGAGTATACTTAGAATACATAATTGTAATTTTCTTAAGTATATCTTAATCAGTTAAGCACAAGCATAGGCCAAATGTACTGTAAGACTTTTCTGTATATACTTGTCCATATAAGCCAAGTAAGTATAGTTATATCTTTAGTTATGTGTAGACAGATTGTATACTCTTATATTTGTAGTTTAAAACAAGTAAGCTAATAGCAAACTTTAGCCAACCTTGGCACCAGCAACGTCATTCACACCAGTGAAACTGAGCTGTTGTACGTCTGCAACTGCATTGGCTTCCTCAGGGTCAGCAGTATCACAGAAGGTCAAACAGAATCGGCTGCCAAAGGGCAAAGAGAAAGAGTGGTCACATGACTCTTAACGTGTGACAGGGCTATGTAGGCTACGGCTAATCTGTCTAAATGGGGTTAAGTAGCTTGAAATGCTTTTGCACTAAACGTCCGTGAGTTTAGAAGACCGTACCATCCGACACGAAATCCAACCCTGAATCCATTATTCTGTGCTCACCTTGGGAGGTCACCTGTGAAAAGTTCACTTTAGCATAATTGTAGTATGACCTGAACGTAATGTTTTCGGACACTTAATTGCATCTTCATTGTTATAGTGTAATTATATACCCAAGTACTCAGTAATATTAATTAATAACATGTAGGGTTAGGGTTTTGGTAAGGGTTAGTTGCATAATTATGCATAATTTACTGTTCTAACTATGGTAAGAACATGGAATTGTAAAATAAAGTGTTACCAAATGTATTTCTATTAAATGCAATGAGTTGACGTTAAGAGTGACCCAGTAGGACTTGAGTACATCTTTATATGTAATTGAAATATGGCTAAAGTGCTCTGATAAACTAAAATATACTTTAATTCCAATTCTATCGAAAATTGTATGTCATTTATTAAATTGTTTGTAATTACACATTTGTAATGATGAAAACGTTACACTCTAAAAAATGCTGGGTTGGGTGATATATGAACAAACCTAGCCATATTTTTAAATTGCATTTTTAGTCCAACATTTGGGTTTGTCCATATTTTACCCAAAATTGAGTTAAAACAACCCAGCATTTTTTAGAGCGTACAGTTAAAATTGTAATCAAGCCTTTAAACACTCTAAACAATGCTGGGTTGTTTGAACCCAAATTTGGGTCAAATATGGACAAACCCAAATGTTGGGTTAAAAATGAAATTAAAAAAAAAACTACAGTTGAAAGTTGGGTTAAAATTTGAAATTACAGTTTTAACCCAACATTTGGGTTAGTCCATATTTGACCCAAATTTGGGTTCAAACAACCCAGCATTGTTTAGAGTGCATGTGCTTCTAGTAGATGTACTTTATAGCATGACAAAAGTATTAAATAGAGCCCGACCGATAAAGGATTTTGAAGGCCGATACCGATACAAATATTTTTGGGTTTTAAAATCCGATATTCCGATATATCGGCCGATATTTTATTTATTTATTTGAAACTGGACATGATAGTCACAAATTTTGTCGCTTATTTGAGTTAAGAGAACTAATGGGGATGTTCTTTTAATTGCTATTCAAGCAACGTATGTCTCGTGACCAACTCAACGAGTGTTGCCAACAGGAACTGTGTAGAGTGCCCTCTGGTGGACAAACTATACAACTCCAACACTCATGACATGGTTCAAGGATGTTTCGTCCGTTTTTATTTTATTTTTGACATATTCATTTATCGGCCATTTTAACTGACGATACCGATAGTTTGGAAAATGCCTAATATCGGCCGATAATATCGGCCCACCGATATATCGGTCTTAAAACAAATATTTCAATGTATTTTTCAATGTAAATTTTACATTTCTACAAAGTGACTGTTCTAAAAGTGTGTAAAGAAATCTTGGCATGAAAGTGTACCCTCATTAAGTAGCCTTTAATTGTATTACACTAAAAAATACTGGGTTATTTTAACCCAATTTTGGGTCAAATATGGACAAACCCAGCTGTTGGGTTAAATTTATAAGTTGCATTTTTTTAATCCAACAATTGGGTTTGTCCATATTTGACCCAAAATTGGGTTAAAACAACCCAGTATTTTTTAGAGTGTAATATTATCTACAAGAACAGTTAAAAAGTACACATGAAGAGTTCAGATGCCAAAGCCTCTAAGTGCCATTTGAAAATTTCTTCTAAAATGACAATTTTTATCAAGCTTGTATATTTAAGTTCAGTAATTTCACTTAAATGGCAATTAATAGGTAATCTTCATTGCCATTTAAGTGAAATTACTGAACTTAAATATACAAGCTTGATAAAAATGGTCATTTTAGAAGAAAATTTCAAATGGCACTTAGAGGCTTTTGCATCTGAACTCTTCACATTTAATGCAATCTAGCACACTTATTTTCACAAGGGGTTCTTATCAAAAGACGGTCAAATGTATGACTGTCTGTCTTGACGTCTGAATCCACAGGGAGGAGTGAATACCGGTCTCCGTTACGGAGGGATTTACATCAAGAGTCTGATACCCGGTGGAGTGGCCGAACAAGATGGCCGAATCCAGACAGGTACATGTGCAGTTACCGTTCTCACTGCCTTACAGAGGCTGGGGAAAGTGTCATGGATCGGGACTGAGGTTTAGTCCTCTCATCTTTTCTTTAGTTCAGTAATTGGATGCAAGAATGCGTCGGTTTGGTTGAGTCACTTGTGACGACGAGGGAATGATGATTGTGTGTGTGTGTGTGTGTGTGTCAGGAGACAGGCTGTTGGAAGTGGACGGCACCAGACTGCAGGGATTCACAGATCAGCAGGCGGCTGAATGTTTGGCAAGAGCAGGCGAGGTACGCTATCTCTCTCTCTCTCTCTCTCTCTCGGCATCTCAGCTCAGCTGTGATCCCTATAACCCTATAAAGCCTATCATATTTCTTACGTGAATTTGTAAGGCCTCTAAATTTTCGATATGATCAAAACTTTGCTGAAAAGGCCTGTTGCACACAGTTATCCGGTTGAAATTAGCAAGTAAAATGCATTTTAGAGTCATTGTTAAAACGTCCACCTTCAGCTCGTGGTTCACGTGTCTTTTTGCTGTGAAGTCTTGATTGAATTTTTATAAGTAAATGTAAGAATAATTTTAATATTGTCTTTTATATTGCAAGATGAACACTTATTGGATTGGCGCAGCTTTGGATTACTTGAATATACATACTTTTCTTTTTTTATCTTGCCTATGATAATCAGGCTTTTGGGGAAGGTTTATTTGTTCATCTCTCAATCATTGCATTGCTTTATATGTTTAAAACTCATAAGTCATAAGCATTTAAATATCATCTTACAACATTACTTGCAGATATATATATATATATTAGGAATGGACAACGATTAATTGCGATTAATCGCATCCAAAATAAAAGTTTGTGTTTACATAATATATGTGTGTGTAATTAATTTGTATAAATACCCACACATGCATGTATATATTTAAGAAAAATGTGTTATTAATATATCAAATATTTATATTTAGATATAATATTAATTGTGAATAAATATATATAAAATATATACATGCACATATTTCTTAAATATATACATGCATGTGTGGGTATTTATATATACAAATTAATAATAGACACTACACAAACATATATTATGTAAACACAAACTTTTATTTTGGATGCGATTAATCGCGATTAATCGTTGCACATCCCTATATATATAGTGATGATGAGTCTGATGACTGATATTTATATGCATTTTATTGAAGTAATCTGATGTTATTAAGATCTCATTGACAAGCTATCAGGATTTCATCTTTTTGGTCATATATATTAATAAATGCACCAAATTGCATATTTTGGTTCTTTTTAGCACCCCTTTTTCTCCTTGAGCAAAAAATGCATAAAAGCATGATGTATCAAATATGATACGAAACATGAAACACACACAAAAAAAAAATTTCAAACCTGTATACTACTATTTTTGAATGTATGCTTATCTCCATTGTTGTGGCAAAAATCATCAAACATCATCACTGCGTAAGAGGCACTCCGAGTCAAATTGTTAAAATATTTTAGCCGTCTCTTACCAGAGATATCTTGGTTGCCATGGTTTCGCTCTCTTTAGATCCCAGTGGAGCTTCTCCCAGACCCGATAGCGGTCGGCCTCTCTCTCTCTCAAGCTTATGAGGTAGAGCTAGGTGGCCAAACACCGTCCGCTCTCGGGTCCAGAAGGCATTTCCAAGGAATCCCACTCTTCTGACACCAAATTGTTGTGGCAAAAATCCAGGGAGACATTAGACAGCTCTTATAGTCTTGCCCGCTGTACCTTTCACCCACCCAGACAAGGCCCTTACTTAAGGACACAAACTGGTACTGAAATAAACTGGCCAAAACTGGCCGTCCCTAAGGTCAGAAGTCCTATCCCATATATGTTCCCCGAAACGTCACCCACAACCACATTCACATCTATATTTTACTCATAGAATAGGTTCAATGGAAACACATGGCTCAGACCACCTAGTAATCTTCACTAATGATTAAAATTCCCACAATACCATACAGTTGATGAAAAAAGACCAAAAACTAAAGGTTTTCACACAATAAAGGCTATTGGCTTCAGAAATCTAAATCATATGGACTAGTTTTATGATGGTTTTTGTAGCGTGACAGATGCGGTCAGTACTCTTCAGCTGAATAGTGTGTGTGTGTAGGTGGTGTGTCTGGTGCTGGAGCGGGACGGAGGCTCAGTGCTGACGCGAGGCCCTATAAACCCTCAGTTACGGGACACACTCGCCGTCCGATTACCGAATCCCACAGGGGTGAGGAACAGCTGTCCTGCCGTCACCATGACCAGACCCTTCGGCGTCAAGCCCAGAGACTACAGCTTTGTGTCGGACGGTAATCAAAAGATGCATGTAAATGCACCACTTTAATGGTATATACGCTGATTCAGATTCTGCGCTGCTTTTGCAGAGCAAAGACGACTGCTTACTACACCATGTGGTGTTTAAACTCTTTTAAAATCTTAGAATATTGAAAATCATCAGAAGACTAAAACAAAATATCAGAATGTATGCCTTTATCTCTGAGTTCATTCAAACCTCACTTTTAATAACTAAACTAGAGGATTTTACTAGGGCTGGGTATTGAGACAAATTTCAAAATTCGATTAGATTTCGATTCACAAGCTTGCAATTTGATTCGATTTCGATTACGATTCGATTCAATATCGATTATTTTGGATATCAGTTACAATAAATGGCAATTTTTCTCAAGGGAATCAAATCTCTTAACTAATGCTGTAAACTATGGGAGTCTAGTTGTAGCCTATAGGCTTCATTAGCCTAATATGAAGGTAATAATGAACTGTTTTGTAGCTATACAAACACTTAAATTACACTTTTATATATTTTTATAATAGGAAGATTATATGAAATATAAACATTTAAATGGTGGCTGTCTTAAAAACTTGCCAGATTTATTCAAATTTGCATTCAATATTGAAGAACATTAAGATTATAATGCATATGTAATATGGTGTATGTATTTAGCAAAACGCTCCTCTCTGGAGTTATTTTTTCTAGCTGACTAACGAGTTTATGTGGGTTTTCTGAGGTAAATATGATGATGACATTGATTACAAGCTGTTTAACTGACGTCTTTCCACGGTTGAAACGCTGATTGAGCGAATCAATGTGACATGATACGGATTTCGATAAGTTGTACTCTATCTTTTAACACACTTTCAGATGCTCATTCATGTTTATTTGGCGCTGTGACTGGTATTATTAAGCCGGAAGAGAGATCAGCGCTGCTGCTTCTCTTGAGCTGAGCCAGAGTGATCTCACGCCACAGTGCCAAAACGTTATTTATGTTTTTGAATTTATAAAGAAAATGGACGTAATTTGAAAATTGAGACTTTGTTTCATATCAATAGTAACAAAAGACAAAGATTATTTTTGGATGCGCGCAGCCGGATGACTAATCGATTCTTGAGATTTAAGAATCGATATCGGTTCGTAAAAATGAGAATCGATTAATATCGAGAAATCGATGTTTATTACCCAGCCCTAGATTTTACCATGAAATCAAAATTGACAATTCTTATATTTTTATGGAATATTGCTGTATTTATCATAAACGATTATTTATTATCCCTAATAATGCCCTCCCTCTTGCAGCATCTCGTCTTCTCTGATCTCCAAATGCCCTTTCACTCAGATATTCGTCACAATAGGAAAGAAAAGACTATCACAACGACTGTTTCATTACAGTTTTAACTCTTTACCCAGCATTTTTGATCATTTTCATAAAAGTTTCATGGCCCCCGTCCCCCGGAATATGTTGTAGTATGAATATCTGAACATGTAATATATCAGCCTCTATTTTTAAAGCCACACTATGCAGGATTTCTGTTTTTGTCAAACTGTGACCCCTAGAGACGCCGTGGAGTACTTGAACTTATATTTGTATTATATAATATATAAAAGAACTAAATTAATAACTTTTTTAAAACAAATAAAAGAAACATCACTGAACTTACGTAAGCCGGACTGTGACGCTTTTTTCTTATGGAAACAAACTTTTGCATTATTTTCCTGTTATCTCTGTAAAGCTGCTTTGAAACAGTATTTTAAGAAGCACTATATAAATAAATGTGATTTGACATGACACACGCACAGGTACCTCCACAAGGCTGGCTTACTTGTGTCAAATTCTGTCCCCAGAGAACATTCAGGAGGTGAAACTCCAGAAGACCCTGAACGGTCTGGGCTTCAGCTTCTTCATCTCAGAGCTGGACACGTCCCTCGACTGTGGCTCGGTCGTGCGAATCAGAACGCTGTTCCCAGGTCAGCCTGCGGAGGAAAGCGGCAAGATTCAGGAGGGAGACGTCATTCTGTCGATTAACGGGCAGCCGCTGAAGGGATTGTCCTATCAGGTCACAAGAGCTTTTCTTTAACCGTTACAGACATGATGGGAATATTAACGTGAAGGGCCATGCAGGATTTGTTGATTATAGTAATAATTATTCATTTCTGGGCAATCAAAGTTATGGCAGCCAAGACCATATTTACTATTAAACTTATATTTGTCCTGTGAACTCTGACCCCTACAGCAAGTGCTGCAGTGTTTGAGGATTTCTCCTTCAGTGGTGCAGCTGGTTATCTGCCGTCCTCCTCAAGGTATGGAGAGAACGCACAACACTGACAATACACTTAAAGGGATACTTCACCTCTAGAAAGATGAATGTGTATTTAAAATGGGTCATTTATGTAGAAGAAATATGAAATCATTTTTGAATTTGGAGCTTTCTAGACTGAGAAAAGCCAGAAAATGTATTTTTGGCTTATGTGGAAGAAAGACAACAACTCCCAGAATGCACTTGCTTCACTACCCTAGGAGGCCACGCCTACCGGTAACAGAGCGCAATAGTTAAACAACAAGTGTAAGCTACTAGTGAGTCTCCGTGATGAGTCGGCCCGAAAATGTGTTTTGAGATTGGCCAAAATGTTGTTTTTTTTGCGTTTTGCAATCGCCATTCATCATGTTTACTGTGGCGAGCGGGACGAGTGAGGGCCGCGGGAGAACGGCGCGAGTCATGTTCGTTCTACAAAACTTAATGCCAAATCCTGAAGTATCCCTTTAATTTGAGAATCTTTTTTATTTAGTGATGCACGATATATCGGCCGCCATATCGGTATCGGCCGATATATGTTAATTTTTAGTGTTATCGTTATCGGCCTGATAAGAAAATTAGGCCGATATATTAAAGTTGATAATTAATGCATTATTTCCTTCAGCTGAGACACTTCAGATGCACTGTTCAACATGATGGTTTGGAATTGCTTGAAATATGATTGGGAAAAAAATGAAAATATAGTGCAGCACAAGTCTGTCATATAGTCCATGTAAACTATATGATGTGATTGGGATATGGATTTTAATGGTGAGACTTTTGTTTTTGTAATCAGACTCTCAAAAATGCAAAAAAAAAAAAATTGGATTTAGATTTATCGGCCAATATATCGGTTATCGGCTTTCAAGTATAAAGAATTATCGGTTATCGGTATCGGACAAAATGTTCATATCGGTGCATCCCTATTTTTATTTATTTTAGATTTTTGATGATAATAATTATATATATACACACACACACACTCTCTAACTCTACAGGTCAAAAGTTTGGAATCAAATTTCAATCAATTTTAATGTGTTTTTTTTAAAGAAGTCTCTTATTATAAAATAACTTTTTGTATTGTAATATATGTTAAAATGTAATTCCTGTCCTGTAATTTCCAGCATCAATACTCCACATGATCCTTCAGAAATCACTCTAATATGATTTGATGCTCAAGAAACATTTCTGATTATTATCAGTGTTGAAAACAGTTTTTCTGTTTGATTTAAAAGAAACTCATGGTTTTATTCAGCAAGGACACTTTACATTTGATCACTGAAGACTGGAGTAATGATGTTGAAAATTCAGCTTTGTATCACAGGAATAAATTACATTTTACAATATATTACAATAGTAAACTGTATTTTTGATCAAATAAATGCAGCCTTGGTGACTTCTCTCAAAAACATTACATATCTTAAATCCTTTTGACTGGTTTTATTGCCTATGCAATTTCATATTTGTGTATTTTTAATAAAATATCCAGAGATCAAGGTGTTGATTGGTGTTTACAGTAACTTCATGTTTTATGTTGTTAAGGAACACTTCCACCAATATCCGAGAAAATAGGCCAACTGACCTGCAGCTGATCCATTAAAGATGTCATATATGAAGGTCTTCTCCTGAAGGGAGGAAGATCATAGAGGAATCCTGATGCATTATAGGAGAGGATGGATCCTTCAGAGGGGTTAGAAAGTTCAAAACTGAGTTTGATTTTCCTTTATGTGATTTATATATACAGCCAAATTGATTTCTTTGATTTTACCCGAATTATTTGAACGGGAAAATCGGGTAAATAGTTCTCGCACTTTAATATCTATTGTTGAATTGTTTTGTACGTTAAAACGGAATTATAGACATTCACACACACACACACACACACACACACACACACAAAGACAATCCTGAACTTGTAAAAGCAAGGTCAACATGTGAAGGATCTCAGCACTTAATCTAGTCACACCTTGACTAAACATGTTTTTGAGCGCCGGCCAGACTTTACTATCAGAATTACCACAGCACTTTAAGAAATCACATAGAAAAGTGTCTTTTATTTGATTAAAAGAATATTGTTTTGTCTTAAGGTCCTCCTGTCAAATACAAAAAGGAAGCAGACTTAGAGTTTGAAATCCTACAATGATCCTTTCCTGCTCCTTTACTTTACTGGATGAAAAGGCAAGTGTCGGTAAGCAACTTTTTTATTAATAATAAACTATTTGAATGATGCTGAATTGACAATAACATGTAAAATGTGTATAACGTTAACCACCAGCAGGAGAGCAGTGATGAGTAAACTAAATTAGCTGACTACATTGATTGTGTAACATAATGATTTTTTTGTAGTAGTAGTAGTAAATTAAGGCTTTCGGGTTT